AAGGAAGATTTAGATGGTGGCAATGAAAGGGTGTGCAGTAAAGTTGATGAACACATAACTCCTTAGGAAAGATGCAGCTTGTCTGGAAGCATTGAATTATTGACAGAAGGCAAATATTTGGCTTCCACACATCACTTATGAAATGCATCTGCCTTTCGTATGCCATTTCCTGATGGAAATTTGTATCTACAGAACAGCTGTGTGTCTAATGAGCAACAAAGGCTGTAAATGTGCAAATGTACAAGCAGGTTTTGTGTTGCCAGGGGAGTCACAGAAAAGAAAGAGAATCTTGATCCCATAGATGATGTCTCACTGAAGGAGCTTAGCATGAAAAGTTCCAACAATGCCAAAACTTTCTATCAGAACTCATGAAGCATTAGGAAAAGAGTGGAGGAGCGGAGCAAATGATGTAACAAAAACTTGCTTGGCTTGAGCAGAAGAATTTGATTGACTCTTGTAAAAATTAGTGTTCAGATTATTACATATCCTGAAGAATGTGGGGGGGGGGTTAAAAAGGAAACGGGGGGGGGGAGAAATTCTTGTTATTTAACCTCTGGGGGAAACACCTGGAGAAAGAAGCCTTTGTGGTTCACCTGTCTGTGCTAAGCATCATGGGAAGAGCAATGCTCTAAACAAGGCAGCTTTGGAAGCAGGCATGTAATCCTGTGAATTCAGTTTGAATAGCTCACAAGCTTAAACCATTACCAAACACATTTTTATGTTTCGGTATGGAGACACAACCAAATGTAAAAAATGTATTTGCTTCTCTAAGCATTCCTTGGATCTAGATTCAGGTAGGTAGCAGTGTTTGTCTGACGCAGTCGAAATATATAAAAAATTTAAAAAATGTCCAGTAGCAACTTTGTTGTTGTTGTTGTTGTTGTTTAGTCGCTTAGTCGTGTCCGACTCTTCATGACCCCATGGACCAGAGCACGCCAGGCACTCCTGTCTTCCACTGCCTCCCGCAGTTTGGTCAGACTCATGTTTGTAGCTTCGAGAACAGTGTCCAACCATCTCGTCCTCTGTCATCCCTTCTCCTTGTGCCCTCCATCTTTCCCAACATCAGGGTCTTTTCCAGGGAGTCTTCTCTTCTCATGAGGTGGCCAAAGTATTGGAGCCTCATCTTCACGATCTGTCCTTCCAGTGAGCACTCAGGGCTGATTTCCTTAAGAATGGATACGTTTGATCTTCTTGCAGTCCATGGGACTCTCAAGAGTCTCCTCCAGCACCATAATTCAAAAGCATCAATTCTTCGGCGATCAGCCTTCTTGATGGTCCAGCTCTCACTTCCATACATCACCACTGGGAAAACCATGGCTTTAACTATACGGACCTTTGTTGGCAAGGTGATGTCCCTCCTTTTTAAGATGCTGTCTAGGTTTGCCATCGCCTTTCTCCCAAGGAGCAGGCGTCTTTTAATTTCGTGACTGCTGTCACCATCTGCAGTGATCATGGAGCCCAAGAAAGTAAAATCTCTCACTGCCTCCATTTCTTCCCCTTCCATTTGCCAGGAGGTGATGGGCCCAGTGGCCATGATCTTCGTTTTTTTGATGTTGAGCTTCAGACCATATTTTGCGCTCTCCTCTTTCACCCTCATTAAAAGGTTCTTTAATTCCTCCTCACTTTCTGCCATCAAGGTTGTGTCATCTGCATATCTGAGGTTGTTGATATTTCTTCCGGCGATCTTAATTCCGGCTTGGGATTCATCCAGCCCAGCCTTTTGCATGATGAATTCTGCATATAAGTTAAATAAGCAGGGAGACAATATACAGCCTTGCCGTACTCCTTTCCCAACTTTGAACCAATCAGTTGTTCCATATCCAGTTCTAACTGTAGCTTCTTGTCCCACATAGAGATTTCTCAGGAGACAGATGAGGTGATCAGGCACTCCCATTTCTTTAAGAACTTGCCATAGTTTGCTGTGGTCGACACAGTCAAAGGCTTTTGCATAGTCAGTGAAGCAGAAGTAGATGTCTTTCTGGAACTCTCTAGCTTTCTCCATTATCCAGCGCATGTTTGCAATTTGGTCTCTGGTTTCTCTACCCCTTCGAAATCCAGCTTGCACTTCTGGGAGTTCTCGGTCCACATACTGCTTAAGCCTGCCTTGTAGAATTTTAAGCATAACCTTGCTAGCGTGTGAAATGAGTGCAATTGTGCGGTAGTTGGAGCATTCTTTGTCACTTCCCTTCTTTGGGATTGGGATGTAGACTGATCTTCTCCAATCCTCTGGCCACTGCTGAGTTTTCCAAACTTGCTGGCATATTGAGTGTAGCACCTTAACAGCATCATCTTTTAAAATTTTAAATAGTTCAGCTGGAATACCATCACTTCCACTGGCCTTGTTATTAGCAGTGCTTTCTAAGGCCCATTTGACTTCACTCTCCAGGATGTCTGGCTCAAGGTCAGCAACCACACTACCGGGGGTGTACGAGACATCCATTTCTTTCTGGTATTGTTCCTCTGTGTATTCTTGCCACCTCTTCTTGATGTCTTCTGCTTCTTTTAGGTCCTTTCCACTTTTGTCTTTTATTATGGAAATCTTTGTACAAAATGTTCCTTTCATATCTCCAATTTTCTTGAACAGATCTCTGGTTTTTCCCATTCTATTGTTTTCCTCTATTTCTTTGCATTGCTCATTTAAGAAGGCCCTCTTGTCTCTCCTTGCTATTTTTTGGAAATCTGCATTCAATTTCCTGTATCTTTCACTATCTCCCTCGCATTTTGCTTACCTTCTCTCCCCCGCTATTTGTAAGGCCTCGTTGGACAGCCACTTTGCTTTCTTGCATTTCTTTTTCATTGGGATGGTTTTAGTTGCTGCCTCCTGGATAATGTTACGAGCCTCCACCCATAGTTCTTCAGGCACTCTGTCCACCAAATCTAAATCCTTAAACCTGTTCCTCACTTCCACTGTGTATTCATAAGGGATTTGACTTAGATTGTATCTTACCGGCCCAGTGGTTTTTCCTACTTTCTTCAGTTTAAGCTTGAATTTGGCTATAAGAAGCTGATGATCTGAGCCACAGTCAGCTCCAGGTCTTGTTTTTGCTGACTGTATAGAGCTTCTCCATCTTTGGCTGCAGAGAATATAATCAATCTGATTTCGATGCTGCCCATCTGGTGATGTCCATGTGTAGAGTCGTCTCTTGTGTTGTTGGAAAAGAGTGTTTGTGATGACCAGCTTGTTCTCTTGGCAGAACTCTATTAGCCTTTGCCCTGCTTCATTTTAAACTCCAAGGCCAAACTTGCCAGTTGTTCTTTTTATCTCTTGACTCCCTACTTTAGCATTCCAATCCCCTATAATGAGAAGAACATCCTTCTTTGGTGTCATTTCTATAAGGTGTTGTAAGTCTTCATAGAATTGGTCAATTTCAGTTTCTTCAGCACCAGTAGTTGGTGCATAGACTTGGATTACTGTGATGTTAAAAGGTCTGCCTTGGATTCGTATCGAGATCATTCTATCATTTTTGAGATTGCATCCCAGTACAGCTTTTGCCACTCTTTTGTTGACTATGAGGGCCACTCCAATTCTTTTACGGGATTCTTGCCCGCAGTAGTAGATGTGATAGTCATCCGAACTGAATTCGCCCATTCCTGTCCATTTTAGTTCACTGATGCCCAGGATGTCAATATTTCGTATCTGAAGTAGTGTGCATGCACATGAAAGCTCATACCAGAACGAACTTAGTTGGTCTCTAAGGTGCTACTGGACAATTTTTTTATTTATTTATATTTTTTATTTATATATATTTCATTCCTTGGATGTATTATATGAGTTTCAAGTCTCTGGATTCAGGTAAATGATTTTGCCTGAAGTATTGCTTGTTGCGAATCAGGGATTCTTTCTTTTAAACTCATTTAGCAAAATGTATAGACCAAATAATAATATGAGAAGCGGACACAGCGGACACAGAGAAGCGGACACGGAGCAGTGGATCCAAACTACAAGAAAGAAGATTCCACCTAAACATTAGGAAGAACTTCCTGACAGTAAGAGCTGTTCGACAGTGGAATTTGCTGCCAAGGAGTGTGGTGGAGTCTCCTTCTTTGGAGGTCTTTAAGCAGAGGCTTGACAACCATATGTCAGGAGTGCTCTGATGGTGTTTCCTGCTTGGCAGGGGCTTGGACTCGATGGCCCTTGTGGTCTCTTCCAGCTCTATGATTCTATGATTCTATTTTATTTATTTTTAAATAATATTTATTAAAGTTTCAAAAGAAGAAAAATCACATTAATAAAAAGATTAACAATAAAAAGGAAAAATACAAAGTAGAAAAAAGAAAAAACAGTTAAAAACAATTCCATCTTTTCATCACTTCTTTTACGTTTACTTGTTTCCCAGACCTCCTCATACCTCCCTCTTTTGTATTCCAATTCAATTTGTTAATCCAACAATTCCTTTCCCTCCTTTTTAATCCTAATCTTTAATCTTGATATATTATAACATTAAATTTTTACATATTAAGAACCAATTTTTCCATATTCTTTTGTACCTGTACAGCTAGAAACCACTTAACTTCAATCCAACATCATTCTAACATTCATTAATTTTGCAATATTTCTGTAAATAGTCTTTAAATTTCTTCCAATCTTCTTCCACCGACTCTTCTCCCTGGTCACGGATTCTGCCAGTCATTTCCGCCAATTCCATATAGTCCATCAATTTCATCTGCCATTCCTCCAGTGTGGGTAAGTCTTGTGTCTTCCAATGCTTTGCAATAAGTATTCTTGCTGCTGTTGTAGCATACATAAAGAAAGTTCTGTCCTTTTTTAACACTGATTGGCCGACTATGCCCAGGAGAAAGGCCTCTGGTTTCTTCAAGAAGGTATATTTAAATACCTTTTTTAGTTCATTATAAATCATCTCCCAGAAAGCCTTAATCCTTGGGCACGTCCACCAAAGGTGAAAAATGTACCTTCAGTTTCTTTACATTTCCAACATTTATTATCAGGCACATGATAGATTTTTGCAAGCTTGACTGGGGTTATGTACCACCTGTATATCATTTTCATAATATTTTCTCTTAAGGCATTACATGCCGTAAATTTCATACCTGTGGTCCACAACTGTTCCCAGTCAGCAAACATAATATTATGTCCAACATTTTGTGCCCATTTAATCATAGCAGATTTCACCGTTTCATCCTGAGTATTCCATTTCAACAGCAAGTTATACATCTTTGACAAAATCTTAGTTTTGGGTTCTAACAATTCTGTTTCTAATTTTGATTTTTCCACCTGGAAGCCAATTTTCTTGTCCGAATTATATGCCTCCATTATCTGATAATAATGAAGCCAGTCTCGCACTTTGTTTTTTAGTTTTTCAAAACTCTGCAGTTTCAATCTATCTCCATCTTGTTCCAAAATTTCCCAATATTTCGGCCATTTGACCTCCATATTGAGCTTTTTCAGAGCTTTCGCTTCCATCGGTGACAGCCACCTTGGGGTTTTATTTTCCAATAAATCCTTATAATTCTATGATTCTATGTCTAAGCAGTTTACAGAAAATGGTGTCTCATCATTATCAAGTTCATTTGGATATGTATTTGGACATGTGCACAATTTACCTTAATATTTATATATGTTTAGATTAGGATTGATGCATTATTCTTATCTTTCTTGATGGGTTGTGCTCATTGTTAATGGGAACTAGTGTCAGATCTTCAAACTACTGAATAATGTTTGTCCTTCCAAACCTGGAATTTATGCCTCTTTTTTGTCCACCTGTTAGTCCCCTCACCTAATGTGCACAAACATCTGCAAATATCAATAATTTTTCCATAACAAAGTTAACTTTGACCAGAAGAGACACCCCATGGACACCCCCATACTCAGTGGGGCATTATGAACATTACATCATCTGAACTAGCCAATTCCTTCCTATGCTATGGAGTCCAATTTATGCAAAACTCCATTTTAAAAATCCAAATCTAATGCCTATCTCTATTATGAATTTTATTGATGTATCCAGCAGGCACACGGAACTCCTGTCTCATTTTCATTGGATTCATCAGCTAAACCTGAAATGTTCTTTGCCATATGATACTGTGTCTGATTAATTAAAAATCTACTCCCCCACCGCAACCTCCTTTGAGGACTTGTTTGCAATCAATACATGGATCTGCAATCATGGAACAGCACACTCCTCCACCGCAAGTAGGAGAGACATGATGGGCTGTCACGCCTGCTGTGGATTAAGCTCCATTGATTAATGAGATGAGATGTCAAGGATGAGGCTGCTGTTTCAGGGGTGCAATATCCAGTCATTTTCATCCTCTCTCCTGCTGATGTCATTGAAACTTCCCTGAGGAACCGGAATAACAGCAGGCTCTTGAATACAGCCAGTGGCTCTTTCGGTGTGGATTGATGCAGTTAGAAAAATCCTTGCAGGATAATAGAAGGTAAGGCTTGAAATCACAACCATTCCCTTAGTGTGCCCACCGCATCCAACCCAGTATCTAACTGTTCTCCCTGGCACTGCCTGTTAATTACTTTTGGGACAGCGAATGTTGCTGATGGATTATACATCACCCAGACAACAATCCAATTTTGCTGCACACCAGATTGGAACATTGCTTTGTGTGACTTGAAAGTGAATGCCAGGAGGAAGGGGGAGCAATAAAAGTATGGAAATATTTTCTAGATAGGGAGAATTATGAGCAAAAGGGAGGAAATCCTTATATTGCCCCATTTAGTAGCTTGCTCATTGCTTTATTAGTTGGCATCTGTGTGTCTCAAGCGACACAGAAGAATGTGCCATTGGGGGTGAAGTCAGATTGCTGAAGAGTTAGAGCGCCTGCTATGGCTTTAGAGACCAATATAGGAGAGACACGTTTAATTGCAGCTGGGGCAGATGAAGGTGCCCAGTTTGACTATTACAGATGCACCCCAGTGTTTCTTCTCTCTGCACTCCTCCGTCGGCTCTTCCTTGCTAAGAAACGCTTCTTCATTTGCTGCACCCCGCTGCAGGCGTCCAACTCTCTCTCCTTACACATTTGGGGCATCAGGACATAGTACCAGTGTGGCAAAGTGCTTAGAGTGTCAGGCTAGGAGCTGGGAGTTCAAATCCCCTCTCAGCCATGAATCTTACTAGGTCGCCTTGGGTCAGTCACTGCCTCTCAGCCTACCCTACCTCACAGGGTTGTTGTGGGGATCAAATGAGAAGGAGGAGTACGGTGAACAGGACCTTGAGCTTTTTGGGGGAAAGGTGGGATATAATGGTTGGCATCCACCTGTCTCAAGAGACAATGGAGTGCACCTGTGGGAATGAAGTTAGCAACACCAAAGTGACCTCCCTGGAGGGCCTGAGCTGCCCAGACAACAAAGGAAAGCAGAGCGGTATGTTTGGCACCAGCTTGGCTGTCGGAATTCCCAGAAGGAGGCATACAAGGTGCAAAGCATCTTGACTGATGCTGCTTCAGAAGGTTCAACCACATGTGTTTCAAAATGGGTCAAAATACAACCTGGGTTCAGGCATCCCAGTTTGGGTGGGGCAAGGATGCACACACAAGCCCCACCCTCAGTATCACAGTGTGCACCCTCACCCCCCATCTCAGGCCCTGTCTTGTGCTGAGGAAACCTGCATGGGGCTTCTATTCATGTCCATTTGAGCATGAGTAGGACCCCCCCACACACACACAGCTGGGAACCTGATTAAAGCAGGTTCCCTGAGCTCTAGCCATCATGTCCAGTAGTCAAGGATTTGTAGTCCAGAGGCATCTGAAATGAACCCTTTTGGCTGCCCTGTGCAGACCTCCCTCATGCAACTTGCAGGAACACACCTCATTTATCACTGGCCAAGCAAAGCATGGCTTTAGGTTCAACCTACTGTTTGCCTGTAGCTTTAGACCCCATCAGAGAGGCTGGGGGGGGGTCTTGTAGTCTGGCCAGCCCAGGACCTCCATACACAGGACCTCCAGGCTTATGTCCCAGAGAGGTCACTTTGGTGCTGAAAACACAGCAAAAATAACACAGGTTGATACAAGTTATAAGTTCAGCCTGGTTGACGAAAGGTACAAGCACTACAGGTTGCCTTTGTTGGTGGGAGACTCTACTGTGTACAGTCAGGTGGTGTATCTACAGAGGAGGAATGACTGCTTGGAGGACTGCAGAGAGAAGAAATGCCATAGTGCACCTGCAGTAGCACAACTGGATGCCTTCATCTGCCCCAGCTGCAACAAAACATGTATTTCCTGTATCCATAGAAGCCAACACCCAGGGCCCAATTTCCCTTCAGCCCCCCCAATAAAATATTTGAGGGGCTCATCCTTCCCCAAAGTTGATGACCATTGCCATTCAAATGGTGTCCATGCACCATGTCTTGTGATAGATTATGAGGGGCGGGGCTCACCTGCCCCTCAGTCTCATCAGTCTGCTCATCAGTCTCTGCAGCCACAGCAGGCACAGTAACTCTCCAAGAGTTTGACTTCACTCCCCAAGGTGCACTCTTTCATTGTCTCCTGAGACAGACAGAAACACTCGCACCCCCACATCACCATTGCTCCAGTCAAGTGTGCTGCCCCAACAGCTGCCTTATGTCCGACCCCAGAGGTCAAATCACAGAAGTCCCACCTAAAATGCCATTTGGCCCCCAGCCTTCCTTGTCTTTTCTCAATTAAAGGCAAAACTAATTTTCTTGTCTGTTTTCTTATTCTGGGACTCAAAGGCAGAATATTGCCTGGTAGTTGTGCCTTCTCTTCTTGGCTCCAGGAACATCCGTTTGCTCATAGGCAAACACCTTCAGCTTGACAACTACCTGGAGAAAAGATGATCTCTTCACTTTGCAGGGCTCCTTAGCCATATGCATGGTCCAGTAGACTGGCTCTGATGGCCTGGAGCAGGAAGATTTCCAAACTAAAAGAACAGATGGACAAATGATGGCCAATAAGATAGATCCAGCCCCGAAAGTAACTTTTTTGTCTTGCACACTGCTGGCTGTTAAATGGGAATAGTAATGTGGCAAGGGTTGCTCAATTTCACTTAAAATAAATTCATCAATAGGACTCTGTGGGTACTTCCAGACTGTCACTATCTTACAGGCAAGATTCAATCACAAGCCAACAAATTCATGTTGCACAATTATAGTTGTTTGGAAGGTCTTGTGTAACGAACACTCTTTGCCTGAAGATTGGACTTTTTAGTGATAGGTAAAGTAATGGAAAAGTGAACTGGAAAGTATGGGATAACACTTGTCATTTAATATCACAAACAATTCAGAATTTAATGGTCATTAAATATCCAACATTGTCTAATCTCCTGCAAACCAATCAGAATAAATGCTGTAATAAGCCAGTCATTTGGAGCCCAACTTCTATTTTGTTTCATGTAAATTGTATTCCATTGCTATTTCATGAGCGTTCAGGAAAGGAAAGGCGGATGTTGCCAGTCTACTTCTTAGGAAGATCTTTTGGAGAACAAAAGCCACCCGCGTCCCTTTGGTTAAATATGGCTTGGACTAATTAATTGAGGCTTGATCTCTTGACACCTGAATAGCTAACTGGAACATCCATGTAGAATGGCAGTGTATCTTTGAATACCCCATGCTGATGAGAGGGGCACTTTCCAGATGCACCCACCTGTTTGCTGCACTACACAGAGGTGAGGTTGTAGGGCTGCCAGCTTTTCCACTCGCCTCTGCAGCTTTGTCTTTAGCAGCAGTTTGATCAGCAGATATTAGCAAATGCTAATATCATTTTAAAAATGTGTTTTCTGTTTTCCCATACATCAAACTTACACTAAAGGCAGAAGAGCAGGCCACACCAACTCTTTCTGGTGATTTGCAAATCTCATATGCTGGAGATGAACGTTTGTGCAGAAATCTGGACGTTCCTCTCCCTCCAGTAAGCTGGATTGTGTATATATCTCTTCCCTCTAAATAAACCTCATGTTCAATGTAAGCTTTAAAAAAGGTGACAGACAGAGATCTGTGAGCTGGTGTATCTCACCTTCAGCTGCAGTCTCTCAGCTGCTAACTGCGTGAATGTTTAACAATTAACAAATATTTTAAAGGCAGAAGTAGTTGGCCTGCACAGTAGAATACTTAAACCACTTGGTTCATATGTGGATAGTGCCAATTTATAATTTAATCACTAGTTTGATCACTTATTTGTAAAAGGTAAAGGTAGGTCAGGTAAAGGACCCCTGGATGGTGAAGTCCAGTCAAAGGTGACTGTGGAGTGTGGCGCTCATCTCACTTTCAGGCCAAGGGAGCCGGTGTTTGTCAACACACAGCTTTCACAGGTGGCTCTGTGGTCTAAATCACTGAGCCTCTTGGGCTTGCTGATCCGAAGGTCGGCAGTTCAAATCCCTGTGATGGGGTGAGCTCCCACTGCTCTGTCCCAGCTTCTGCCAACCTAGCAGTTCAAAAGCACACCAGTGCAAGTAGATAAATAGGTACTTAGTTGTAGCTGGGTGGAGTCAGGCATTCCCTGTTACTGTTTATTGTCTCTCACCAACAAAAACAAAAAGTTTTGCTTAGTTTTCTGACTGGTGCATCCTCTAAGCCTGCCATGACAACTCTAAAACTTGTTTAGTCTTACTGAAGAGAATCATATTTGAATTGTTGCTATTAAATTCTAGCAACTCCTGTTGGTACTTAATGTAAGCATTATTAGCTCCCATTGACAGAAGACTTGTAAAAAAAGAGGGTTTTTTGTAAATGTAAGGACTGCACAAACTGTTTCACAGTACAATTCCATGTGCCACCAGAGCTGACCTTACTGGGAACGGATGATGACCAGTTGGTTAGATGTGGACACAAAGCTCAAGTTGTGCAAACAGCTGACCAGCCACCCAAAGCTCCCATGTTCCAGACAGGCAGGAACACAAAATACTGCTGTACTTCCAGTCCATTGATGATGTGACTAGAGCTATTTGTGACTAACTTCTCTCACTAATTTCAATAGTGCCTTCAATGTGACTAGCTTCTCCTATGGATTTCAGTGGGATTTGACTGCAACTGACTTAATTTTCTGAATTGGGGCCATTGCATGTATTTTAAAAAACAAATGTTCAGTGGACAACACAGAAAACATTTAAAGAGAGACTGGAAAGGACACGACAGAAAGTATTAATGTTTATTTCTTTAAATAATGAGCACAGAAAAGAAGTTTATTTTATAGCATTTGATAAACATAATTACCAAATATGGCAGTGGTTTTCTGTGAATTATATTATTGTTGAGGTGAAAACTATTTACAGGTTTCAAGTTGAGGCAACATCAAGTCCATACTCCCAGGAATTAAAGTTTCAACTCAAGTTGTGCTAGATAAGGGAGAAGCAATTTTGATGCTTGTGATGAAAATGAATTGCAGTGTTTATATTCCAGAATTAGTCAATTGTGAAAGCTTCATACTCTAAAATAAGTCAGTGTCTAACACTGAAATTCAGAATATACTGCAACAAACTGCTGCTGATTCATACTAGGGCTGTGTACACACTAACCAGTTTGTAGCACAAAATGATGTTTTTCTCAATCTGGATTCGTTCATGCTCATTCTCAACATGCTGCTTTCAATCTAGATTAATTCTAGATCCTGCCGTCCTCAAGGGTGGATGGGGTTACTTGGTAGGCATTTGAACCCACATGCCCAGGTTGGGTTATCCTTGTCTTTTCTTCCCTGCCCAAGCCAAAGGAGAATGAAGAACGAAGTGGCAATCACAGTCTTAGTATGCACCCACCTAGAATGCCATTGGGCAGGTGTGGATACACCTCACCCTGCTGGGAATACCTACATCTGTTTCAAATTGGAACACTGCGGGGTAATGCAGAATCCATCTGCAATGAGCTTTTATTTTTGAAAGTTTTTAAAGAAGTGACAAAAAATATGCAGTAGCTTGTGTGTGGTCTATGTATGAAAAAGCCAAGTATTCAGTCTCCACTGATTCTCGCATAGCAGCCTAAGTGTTGTCCATGAGGCCCATGAGGGTCTCACTCTGGTCTATGTAAAGCTGCAGATTTTGGGCTAGATTCACACACACTTCAGACTGGTCATCTTCTGTGCAAGCAGTCCATTAGGATTGAAGGCATGCAAATTCCACACAAAACCAGTGGTGAAGTTCAGTAATTTCAGACTCTGGCTAGAACTACAATGATCTTCTAAGACGTTTAATGGTAGTTTCCTTTTGCCTCACTGCTCTGCAGCGCCCTCACATGTCACATTGTAATAATGCATTTTAATGTTATTAACCCACGAGTGTAGATCCGCCCTTTGTCTTAAGGAGGTATCCCCTTTAAATGGTAATATGTATTACTTCACTTACTTCAAAATGTGGTAAGCCATCTGTGTTGTGTTTGAGAGCCCTCTTGCTCACTGAGTGGGGCCTTGGACTTCTGCATCGAAGGAACCACTCTATAGTGCTGTGCCTATTTCTCATTATAATTGCCTCTCAATATGCTGGAGCTGAGTGTTGGGGAATTGTCTTTATTCATTGCAATTCTGCGTAGAAGGATAGCTGGAAATTGCTCATGCAATGCAAGTCCTGTCAAACGGTTATCAAAGTTATCGTCAGTTGGACCAGCTCTGCAAGCTTTTGACCTAAATATGGCATAAACACTGGATTGTGTAACCAAATATGCATTAAATATCTTTTCCAGTGGGGAAAACATTCAGAGCATCTTCTTCTGCTTTCTTTCCTACTTGCTCATGGCATCTGCTCTTACACAGGTCAATTTAACCACCAATGAGTTCACTGTGCTTTGAAGTAACATACAGAAAGCTGGCATTCTTGTCAGCCATCAGGAATGCTACCTTAACCCAAACCCATATAGGTAATAACACAATTTCTAATCCATGTCAGTTGCCCGATGAAGAAAAATGGAATTGCCTAGTCAAGAAAGCACATAGAAATGTTCACAAATTTAATTTAAAAAAATCAAAGCCCATTTCATATTTTGTGGAATTAAGACTATAGGAAATATGTAATAAAAATACTTTCTATAGGATTTAAAAATATGTACATATATAAACCACCTTAATTTTAATGCCCTTATGATACGGGTATCAAGTGTACAGAACATAATGGAGCTTTCATGGCCTTGCCACAGCCTGGATAGAAGTCACTTGTCAGCAGCCTGAAAGGTTTGCCAAACTGCAACCTAGACATACCCCACCAATTCTCCTCCTGTGGAATAAACCTGCAAATTTATACATCAGACATGCTACAGCAGATAGGAGAAGGTGGGTGAAGGGACCAGTGGACAAATTGGACAAGAGTTACAGCCTTTGCATCCTTTCCCACTGCCTCAGCCAAAAGCATCTCCAAGTGGCTGTCTGGATATGCATTGATCCATTCATTCAATCAAACCTCCTCCAGTTCATTGCTCTTCTGGCTGGAAGGGACCCAGCCAGCACAGAGCTATCCCAAAATCAGAACTATATAGCATTCTAGCTGACAAAGAATAGACCTGTGTATTCTCTTCTGCACACAGTGAAGAGCTTTGAAGTCTCTACATCCCAACGTGGAATGTTCTTGTTTGAGCCAAATGATCTGGTACAGCTTGAAAAGGATCAGATCCAGATGGCCTATAGTGTTTTGAGATTTATTTCATTTGCAATTGAGGTCTCTCCTAACCAGACTGAATTATAATTAATCAATTGGCATGCTTAGAACAGATTTGCAGAATGACTCTCACAGCTCAAGAGTCTGCTGGTGGAAGTTTGAGAGCACCTTAAGTGTAGCTGGCAGAAGCTGCCCAGCAGCCTCATGATGGCAGAACCGCAAGCAGAGCCATGTTTGCAAAAGAGGAGTGACCCTCCTTGCAGTGGAGAAGGAAATCACAGACTCAGTTGCACGTTTATTTAAACATTTAAACAGCTTGTCTAAATTGATTAGCATTGAAGGTAAGCTTTGCAGAAATAACTGGGAGGGGGAAACCCACCCCACCCTTAAAGCATTCAGGGGGGCCAACTAGAATAAAATATTTGGAGGGGGGACAGGTAATCCCTGTCCCACATAATCAATCACATGACACAGTACACATACACCATTTGAATGGCAATGCCCATTAGCTGGGGGTGGGCTCAAATATTGGGGACGAAGACCTCTCAGCCCCTAGGAGTTGGCTCCTATGAAAACTATTAAGGGTCCCCCCCCCTTAATTTTAAGGTGTTAAAGGTAAAAGTGGATGGCTTCTAAGGTGAATGGGAAAAAATGGGTAGTCTTTATGATTGGTATCATGGTGTATCAGTCAATTAGATTTAAGGGTAATAATAACAAACTTTAAGAGACACAGATTCAGGTAGGTAGCCGTGTTGGTCTGACACAGTCGAAATAAATATAAAAATATAAAAAAATGTCCAGTAGCACCTTAGAGACCAACTAAGTTTGTTCTGGTATAAGCTTTCATGTGCATGCACACGAAAGGTATCTGAAGAAGTGTGCATGCACGCAAAAGCTTATACCAGAACAAACTTAGTTGGTCTGTAAGGTGCTACCGGACAATTATTATTGTTATTATTATTATTATGAGATAAAGATATTCTGATTGCCAGCATATATTTAAGTAAAGTTGGATTGCATTCTGGAAATGTTGGAAGAGGACTAGAAAGTTTGCATTTTAATTTTACATTAGAATCCCTTATCTTTGTCTGGAAACCAGAGTTTACCACATACCACAAGGTCTTACTGAAATCACTGTGTTCATGCTGAGACTTCTGTCTGCATGGCCAAGACAGAGCGCACATGTTTTTCTATATCTTGCTCTTCCTTGGGAAGCTCAGACTGGCTTCCATGCAGCTCTCTGGTGGTCTCCCAAGCCCAAACCTAAAGCAACAAATGCTAACTGACAATGTTGGGGGTCCAGTGTCCAGACCATTCACTGGGCCCAGACTCAAGCAGCTTTCGTATCCGCTCAATTTGTCTCAACTGGATTTTTTTTTATTACCCTCAGAGGAATATGGCATATGGACCATCATGTTTATGCAGACTTTAAATGCATAAACACAGAACAGTCAATGATGGTCTTGAACTCATAATGTCCCTTCTGGGCTGTAAGAGAAAAGAGGAGAGGAGAGGAGAGGAGAGGAGAGGAGAGGAGAGGAGAGGTGTATGCTGTGAAGTCACCAGCATCACTGCCTGGAGCACTAAACCTGGCTTTATACTTTAAGGTAGGTAGCATGAGAGTTTGCTTGCTTTAAGGAGTTAGCATATGGGATCTGGCCTCCTACAGAGGACAGCTTCTCACTGAGCTTTCGGTTGATCAGCTCTATGTGTCTGGTGTTCTTCCTGGATTGCCTGAGCGACCGCTTGACTTTCTTGACTCGGTCTCGCAGCTGCTTGTTGCGCTTCTCCAGGCTGGCCACCTTTTGCTGGAGCTGCTTCACGTGTTCTTCTTCGTCAAACAAGGCTTTTTGGACTGAAGAGCACATGAGCTGAAATGACATGCACAGAATGACTGCTTTTAAGAAACAATTCCAGAAATCAGTTGAGGGGGGACCAATGGGCATATCCTGGCAAAAAGGGGTTCTTTTATTGTATTTGCTATACTTCTGTAGCCAGCTCCCAGTAGATTCCCATCTGTTTTAGTGATGAAAAGGTGGCAGTGGCATTTTTGAATGGGAGCCAAGCTCCACTCCAACCCACAGTAGCCACTCGACATTTTAATTTACCCAAAATGTCATGCTCCAGCCCATAGATCTATGAAAGCTATAGATTTTATAACTCTACAGGCAGGTCTCAGACGAAGGTGTGCTCTATCAACCCACGTTCCCAGCATGTTCACACTCCTGTCTCAGCAACATCTATGCTGACTTGAACACAGAATGGAAGATGGCAGGATTCCCAAGGATGTGCTCTAGAGGTGTGAAGGGAATCCGCTGTACGGGAGTCCCTTGAAGGCAGCAGCAGTGCCTGGAGACAGGCAGGTAGGCCATGTAGCAGGTCAGGTCAGCTGTGACCAGAGGAGGAATAACTGCTGGGAGGAGCACAGAGAGAAGAAATGTCATGGTATACCTGCATCAGCACAACCGGATGCCTTCAGCTGCCCCACCTGCAGATAAAACATGTCTCTCCCGCATCGGTCTCTACAGCCACAGCAGGTGCTGAAAAGGTGCACTCTTCCATTGTCGCCCAAGACCGACAGGGTGCCAACAACATAAGGCAGGTCATAGACATTTTTGCTGTGTCTGCCATGACAGCAGCAGCAGCAGCCAGGGGGAATAAATGTGTAGCCACATGGGCATTGGCAGCCTTGTGCAGAGGGGCCCCAAAGTCTGGCACCAGGCCTGCCTAAAGTTACTGATCAGCTCTGCGCCACACTTGGCCTCCTCAGCGTGGCAGCCTCAGGGGCTCTCAGTTCATTCACTAAGGAGAAAGAGGAAGAAGAGGAAGAAAATGAATGGTAAAGAAGGGAACCCACGAGGCCACAGCCCAATGTTTAGAGGCTTGGAAAGCGCAGGGACCCCTGGAGGGAAATCAGGCCAGGAGCCAACAAAGTATTTCAAACTACACCGTAAGGAGAGGTTTTGAGAGCAACTTGCAAGTGAAATAGGGAGTATTAATAGCCAAAAAATTAAACAAATGCTCCAACAGTGTCTCAAGCACAAAGCAACCACCTCTGCAGCCACCTACTGCTGTGACTCATTCTGTTCTGTATTACTTTTCTCTATAATTGTCATATGATTCATTTCTTTCTCTGTTTTTATTTTGCACTCCTCTGGCATGCTCTCAGGGAGTTTCCTGTTAAATATGTATGTGTACACACACACACACACACACACACACACACAATTAAATAGTAGTGCAATTCAAGGTGGAAATGCATGTTACAAGGAACATGTGGCTGCTGCTGTAAACAGCATCCCAGAGTTAAATTCTGGTGGTCAGTTGCAAAGGGGACTCTGAGATCTAATTTGCACATTTTATTTGAGAATTATTTTTTATTCTGTGTAATAAGAAAATTTTGGTGGATTTGATCATGGTTTTAGTGCATATGTAGCAACTGCTTTCCCCCCTTCTCCTTCTTTGGATAATGCCATCGTCTTTGGGTAGCACAACAAAAGTTTATCTGAGTTAAATTCTCCCCCTCCTGCCCAGCAACATATAGAAAGAAAATCGCCCTGTGTTTTGACGCCATCAATCAGAGGGGGCAGTTCCACCCCCCAGCCCCTCCCCCGCAGCAAAAGCTGCCAGGGTGGGCAACAGCCATAGGAGCCAACTCCTAGGGGCTGAGTGGACTTTGGCCCCCCCCCCCAATAAAATATTGGGCCAGCCTCCCAAGTTGATGAACATTGCCATTCAAATGGTGTGTGTGCACTATATCGTGTGATTGATTATGCAGGCTGGGACTCGCCTGGCCCCTTAAATATTTTATTCAAGTTGGCACCCCTGATCACCCTCCTGCCCCCATCTGACAGGCCTGCACTCGCCCGTTTGTGGTGGGTGACAATCACTCCCCCCTCCTCTCCCTCTGCGTCCGCTACTGTTGACAGGCAAGCGCTGGCCAGGGGCATGGAGGGTGACTTTCATCCTCCACACTCCCCGCCATCGACGGGCGAGGGCAGGTGCGCCAGGTGGAGGTGGAACAGGTCACGTGGCGCCAGCCCCCTCAATTGGGGGGGCAAGTCCGCACCCCTAGTTTGGGGAGTTTCATTTCAAGGCAAGTGCCAGACTGCAAAATTCCCCTGGTGATTCCCTTTAATAGTTTGAGATGTACCGTTCTATGAACTCATCATTATTAATTGTTCTCATTATAACCAGATTAATCTGGGAGAGAATTCTTCTGGAAAAGTGTGTGTGTGAAAAACAGAAAGTCACACTTAGTATATTAAGCTGTATTGGCCATGTGACATTTAATCAACTGTTGTGTAGGTGTGAAAAATTACTGCTGGTGGTGCTTTAGTCAGTTTTATACTTCATGCTACAGTTTAATCTCCCCGCCCCCCACTTACTGCCTGCCTTCCTACCAATTTCTCAGCAATTCAGATAGGCACCCTTTGGCTAAGAGATGGTGCCAACCCAAATCTCTTGCTGTGATGATGAATAATTGCATGTTATCCTGCCTATTTTTTCATTCATTGTTTTGTAATATTTTCTTACAAGCTGAATGGGTTGGGGAGGGCAAGATATTTGTTTGCCTTGAAAAAGAACCATCAGCTAACAATCCTCTTGTATGAAAAGACTGGCCAGAACTGCCATCCACAGTTGACGGCTTCAATTTGAGTCCCTGTTACTAATCTGTTCTGAGTGCTCTGCATAAATAAAGCATTTCGTCCACTACTTCCAGCCGCTGCCTTTGAAGGCAAGAACCAAGGACATGGTGTTTCACCTGTGTGTGTGTGTGTGTGTGTGTGCGCGCGCGCGCGCAAGAGTATCTGTCAAATATTTTCTAACAATGCATGCCCATTTCAAGGAAAGTCTGACTCAGACAAGGTTAATTTGCCCCCTCTAAACCCGCTGCATAAAACATATGTTCTCTCCCTATAAAGCTATTTTTTTAAAGAATTGCCATAAACATTTATTTGCAAAAACTTCTATACTACCAACGTACATTAAAATGGCATGATTGTGAATAGCATAAAATCAACAATAAATTGCATCAATAAATAAATAAGTCACAGATCAGCAGATCAGTTTAATACATCAACATATCTGGATTGCCCCTCAGAGAAAGCTTGTGTCAGCAGATTTCAAGCAGGCTCCTAAATTTCAGACTTAGGCTGCTGGGGAAGGAACTCCTGAGGAAGTCCATTCCAACTTCCGGGGTGGCGCCATCGGCAATGGCGGACTCCCTCTGAACTGGAGGGACTAGCTCCGCGGGAAACGGGTCTTCTCCGCTACGGCGAAGCGGGGACCCTTTTAAAAACCACAGGCGGATGAAGCCTGTGACCATGGGACTCGGCGGGCACCTTTAGCGCCCCCCCAACTCACTAAGGAACCCACTAACGGGCTCCGAAGTGAAGAGGGGGAAGTGGCGCGGTGCTGTGAGTCAACTGCTATTTCCGTGGAGCGAAGCCGCATAGCCGTTGCCGGAGAGCGCTGCCTTTTTCCTGGGACAATCTGGACTCTAAAATAAGCACCCGTGAGTACTTAGACTTTGAACAACTGGACATTAAATGGGGACTTGCGAGCAGAAAGGAATTGGATCTTAAAAATCTATTTCAATTTGGTACGGAACGGGAAGGTCTAAACAGGAAGTCAGCCTTCCGTTCTTTTGTAGACAGAATAAAGCAAAGACAACATAAACTAGAGCTCAGAAAATCGCCTTTAAGGATTGGATTTCATCATTTAAAATTGTGGAACCCCCCTTCGACAGCAGGAGAAGAAGGGGGATCTTTTTCGGACTGTTTAAAGTGAGTTTAAAGTAAAGCAACTTTCCTCCGTCCTGATCCTGGAGCGGAGTGTCAGGACTGACGTTTGAAGTTCATTGACCAGAGACAAACGTTTTTGACAGATAGCTAAAAGAAGAGAAACATAGTGATTCCACTGTTTCCCATCTCAAAAAGGGAAACTTTGTTGCAAGAACAAATAGAAGTCTACCCCCTAGAGGGAGACTGTGAAACTGTAACCAACTCCAGGGAGCCGGCAGCTGTTACAGATTACAATCGTGGGAATAGGCATTTGACCTTGCAGGACAATGTATTCAGAAGCTTTGTTGTGTGTTTTCTATAAAACAAATGCCCTACTGGAACAGTTACATGAGAAGGTGAATTTGATGGCGACTTCGACTAGAAATTTTGAACAGGCAGTGGAACATTTGGAACAGACAGTGGGAAAATATGTGGAGCCCACCCAGGAATTAAATCAGGAGTGTGTCCTGACAGAACAGGCCCAACAGGAATATGAGTTTTCGGATTTGACAAATGAACTTGGAAAAAGCCAGATTTGGAAAGAAAAAGTTTGGTTTGGCTTGGAAATGGGGGGCTGGATTGACCCCCCTATGCTGGGATGTTTGGAGTTTTGAAATCTGGCAATGGGCCGTGAGATGTTTGGGATTGTGGGGGCTCTTAATTTTGGAGGGTCTTTGAAACATGCTTTTAAATACCATATGGAATTTAGTGCTGAATATGGAAAAGGGGCTGATCTGTCGAGAAGGGTTAAAAATATTGCCAAGCTGGAGTTACCACGAGCAGGAGACAAGGGAAAATACAGTTACAAATATTAAGAAGAGCTGTGGAAGGGACATGGAAGAGACTTGAGGGCCTCGGATATAAGGTTGCCAGGTTAATGGGCTAGATCGATGGGATAATAAGGACTGACAAAACCCGGAACCAGGAGGAAGGGACGTTGGATGAAGATTGGATCTGTTTGTATTTCTTTTTTTTTTAGGTTTTTTTTGGATTGGGCGGGGGATCCAAGATGGCGACGTGAGCGGCAGCCTTGTCTTATGCTCGGTAAAGCTATATTTTTATTATCTGCTTTGACGGGTTCTAAGGGCTCTAAGATGCCTTAAGGCGTTTATTTTAGAAGTTTTATGGTTTAGATTATTTCTACTTCTCCCATAAATCTGCAAGAAAACACGGCAGATAAAGACTGTTAAAGGGAGTAGGGCTCATTAACAGCACAACCTGCCCTGACCCTACTATTTTGAGAAATTTTCTCCCTATTTTCTTGCCGACATGAGAGGGAAGAAACGCCGCAGGCAGCATTCCAATGAAGCTACGAGCACTGCCAAAAAACAGACAAATATCAGGGATTTTTGCCTGACAATGACCTAAATGAGATCTGTAGAAACTTCCCCACAGCAAACAGCCATGAGGTCCTTGCTCCCAGTACTACTCATGAGGAGCCTGCCGGCATTGTGGATGGCCCACAACTAGCCTCGAGCCTGTGTATGAAGGAACAGATGGAACAGACTCTTGAGTCCCTGCAAAAACTTCACCTGAATTATCCCAGTCACCAGCCCAGTTAAACAAGGACCGAGAGGCACTGGAACTGCTAATCTGCCAGACTGAGTTGATAACACATACTATCACCAACTTATATAAAAGGCTGGATGGGATCGAAAAGAAGCTTGAAAAAGCCTTTGGCTTGTTCAGTTGCCCCCCCTCACTCCTTCAGCTTAACAACATTGCAAACTCCGCTCACCCCTGCCCAAGTGCGCAGGCCAACCTTGCACAAAAACAAGTGAGATGCCTGCCCAACCAAGTACAAAACTCAAGTCTGCAACTCCAGAACAGCAAACTTGCAGTACTGGTGGGAAACCACCCCTTGAATTATAACAAATGGGCGGATAAACATTCGGTCACAAATTCCCTGACCCAACTGCTGGGGCAGACATTTCGCCCTTAGATATCGTGGACATCTCATGGCTGCCTTCTGGACCTTATATGAGACGTATGGTTATTAACTTTAGATCTGCCCATTTCGTTGCAAAGATTCTAAAATTAAGAAACCGCACAAGAAAATGGTACATCTATTTTACAAGGGTATTCACCAATCTGACCCGTACACCGCTATGCACCAGGATAGGTGCTGTCGGTGTTGATGCTGGGCCTGTGCGCCATAAAGAACAAATAGACGGGGGAATGGAGCCGGGATCTATTACCCCACAGGGAGTGGCAAGCCTGCCCGCAAATGACTTAATTGATTTCCTACATCCCCCGCTTGGTACCCTGGTCTCTACGTGCAACGAGCCTGGCATTGGACTACCCAAGCAAGACCAGTCTGAAATGCTCTCGTCCTCATATGCCTCGATGCCGGAATTGGAGGCTTCCATTATTCTAAGCCCAATACGCAATCAAGATCCACAGCTTTTGTCAAATTTTGACCCGCTAGCAGTACCGACGCAAGATGCAGTTGTCGACCTGCTACCTATACAGCCTATACGGGTCGGCAAAATCCTTGCTCTGCGAAAACCAGCTGAACATCATGATACATCAGCTGAACAACATGATATTTGTAACGGTGTCATCGAAGATCCTCTGGGCCAAATCAACCTATTGGCCCCTCAGTTAAAGTTATCATACCTATCTAGGGACCAGCGATCTCAAACCCGGAACCACCAAGCAGGGCAGATAGAGGAGGAGCCCAGCTCAGGAGCCTCAAACCATCGGAAAAGAGATTGACTGCCACTATTTCCACCATCACCCTATTTCCACATTCTATCCTGGAATGTGGCGGGATGGCTATCTAAGCAGGGTGACGTCGACCTTCTGGATTTCCTTACAAAATTTCAGATTTTATGTCTACAGGAGACATGGTGTCTAGATCTCCATGTCCCCTCTTTACAGGGATACGAAGCCTTTGTTACCCCTGCGATAAAACCAAAATCCCGAGGCCGACCTAGTGGTGGTTTAGTCACTTTTGTTTCTACCAAGCTAAAATGCAAGGCCCGGCAACAGCAGTGGGTGAAGAGTAACAATTTACAAATCTCACTTATTTCTAGCAGTGAAGGAGGAGATTTCCTTTGCTTTAATATATATATCCCTCCCATAGGCACCCCTCCCCAGTCGTCACAATTCTGGGAAGATTTAGAGCTATGTTTGGAGAAGGCTGAACTAGAATTCCCTGGCATGGATATCCTGCTGGCAGGTGATTTCAACGCCAGGATAGGAAATGACATTAATACGTACTGCTCTAAATCTCAGTTCCTGCCAGAGGCAGATTGGTTTATTCCCTGGTCCTCAGACGATAAGGTCTTGAATAAGGCAGGCATTACATTAATGGAGACTGCCTTCAAACATAATTTGTATAATTTGCATGGTACCCATATGGACAGGTCAGGGGGTTTCTTTTCTTTTCTTGGACCCAGAGGTGCGAGCGTTATTGATTATATCCTGGTCTCCCCAAAACTCTTGGAGAGGTCACAGGGCTTCAGGACTTTCAATAGAATTGAGAGTGATCATCTTCCTATATCAATTTCACTAATTCCCCGTGGTGTGGAGGATCCGCAATACCGCAATCACTGTGCAGACCCACCTCCAACTCTGGCCCTTCGTAGGCGTAAATGGAACAGCGACCTGGAATCTAAAATCAAATTACACCTGCATTCATCAGACTTACTGGCCTTGAGAGACCAGTGCATCTCATCCATTTCTGACCCCTTTTCAACATTTCAGCAGGTCTCAGAGTCGCTCTTCCCACTACTCACGAATTCCAACCCTCCCAAAAAACAAAACAACTCGAGGGCCTGGTTCGACAAAGACTGTAGGAATCTAAGATCTTTGCTCAGGAAACTACAAAATAAGGTAAAACAGGAAGGGACCTTGTCCTCATTGGAAAACCTGCACAGGTGGCGTTCTCATTATAAAAATACTCTAAAATTTAAGAAATCCCTCTACAGAAAGGAACAATGGGAGGCACTTGACAAAGCGATCAAATTGCGGGATGACAAAAAGTTCTGGGAAATAATTGCCCAGGGAGTTTCACCCAAAGGGAAAATTGTAACCAACAGTATCTCATCTAACTTATGGTACCAACACTTTTCCCGGCTATATACAGCTCCAAACATTGCTAAACCGAGCCAGTTTCCTCCTCTTAAAAACGATCTATTAATGGGCTGGGATCCTGTTACCGAATCAGAATGTTTACAGCTAATTAAAACACTCAAGAATGGCAAAGCTCCCGGTGAGGATATGATTCCTCCTGAGGTATTTAAACTAAATGCCCAGTGGTGGGCTGCTATTTTGGCCCAACTTTTACGGTAATAAATGATATATGCAAAATCCCAGAAAACTGGAAACTGAGCCTGGTAGCCCCCATATATAAGAAGGGAGACCCCAAGACCCCTCAAACTATCGCCCCATAAGTCTCCTGGACATTGTGTATAAACTTTACACTCGCTACCTGCTAAATAAACTGGTTGACTGGGCTGACCACTCTAACCTGCTTAATCCGGAACAGGCAGGGTTTAGAAAGGGCCATAGTACAACAGGCCATTGTTTGGTACTACAGACAATGATAGATAAGTATACAAAGGTACATAAGAGCAAACTTTTTGTGGCTTTCGTAGATCTCACATCCGCTTTTGATTCAATCTGTAGGGACAAATTATGGCAAAAATTATATGAAACAGATATTGATAGACGACTTCTCAAAATACTTAGAGAGTTACATTCAGACACCACAGTTAAAATCAGAACTGGGATGTCAGGCAACTATACTGATCCACTGCCACTGGGGAAAGGGGTTAAACAGGGCTGTTTGTTAGCGCCGTTCCTCTTTAATTTCTATATAAATGACATTGTTCAACATATGGCAAAGTATAAGTCATCAGCTCCTGCCCTGGAAGGCAAACACCTGAATATATTACTATATGCTGATGACATGGCTGTCATGGCACTTACTCGAAGGGGCCTACATAGCATGCTGGAGGGGCTCGCAGCTTATTGTTCCCAAAACTCTCTAAAGATAAATTATGACAAAACAAAAATTGTGGTATTTACTAGAGCTCGCCACACATTTAGATGGTCTTTAGATGAACACAAAATTGAACAGTGTCCTTTTTTTAAATATCTTGGTATCACTTTCCAAGCTACATCTAGCTGGCTTGCCCACTTCAAGACTGTTGCCCTTCTAACACGTAGGACAATCGGTGCCCTGCTCAGCTTTTTTATTCGAGGGGAGGGCAACTGGTGATCCCGGCATTAAAAGCTTTTGTTGGAAAAGTGATTCCCCAGATGCTATATGGAGTAGAACTCTGGGGATGGAATCAGAAGCTGTTAGAACGGCTTGAAATCTTCCAAAATTTCTACCTCAGAAGAATTCTAGGCCTCCCTCAGAGTACTCCGGCAGCTCTCCTAAGAGTGGAAGTAGGATTACCTTCTGTGTCTGCCAGGGCCCACTTAAGATTCCTGCGTTTTTTTCACCAACCTCACAGATGCCCCGAACACCTTATTGGCTAAACAAGCCTTTGTATTATTACAAAATAATACTACTTGGCATAAAAACCTACTAGATATCCTATCCAGATACAATCTACCTGAGTTTAATACCCTTAAATTGTGGAGCCCTGATAAAGTTCGGGAATGGATCTTTGAAAAAGACGCCTTTTGGACTCCACAAAGATAAAAAACTCTGGGTTTTCCTACTGATTTCCCGAGTAAAAGCAGTCAAAATCTGTGCCAACTACTTGGTGGAGATCACTGACCCCACCCTTCGGAGAGCTTTCACTATGGCACGGTTTCAAACACTGCCAACTGCATATCTGACCGGTAGATTCACAAAAACCCCAGTAGAACATCGTTTATGCCCTTGCCTTATGAAAATTAAAGAGGATCTTACACATTACCTCCTCTATTGCCCCATCTACTCGAGCTTTAGAGACGCATTGCTGCAAATTATACCCAACTCTATAACCAATCCTGAAGATAGAGTAAAATTTTTGTTAGTTGATGCAAACCCACGTATTACCCATGTGGTAGCGGTTTTTGTGATAAAGGCCATGAAAGCCAGGGAAAGACTTATGGATGACAATGTAAAGACCCCTTCATCGTCTGTTTAACTCGTTGCTCGTTTTCCCTCTCTTTCTATTTTGTGGGATGAAGGTTTTGTTGGCGTAGTATGTAATGAATTTTAATATCTTTTAACTATTGTTGTGTTAATGTTTGTGTACAGGCATGGTCCTCACAATAAACGGATTTGTCTTGTCTTGTCTTCTTTTTTTTACCATTAGAACTGTTTTATAAAATTGATGAATGTCTGAAAAATGTTGGAATGAAATTACTCGGCTTTAGTAAAGATGTTTAAAGAATTATGAAAGAATATTATGGTTATGAGAAGTTGGTAAGGATAATGTGATGGGATGATGAGCTGCTTGTGCGTAAAATCGTATCCCCTCAGAGTTTGTTCAAGTCCACAAACCTCTGTCTGTGACAGAGCCCCTCAGACATGGCTACTCTAGTCACTAGCAGATTCCGACAGTGGTTGCTTTCGTAATCGCTTCCAACATAAAAGCTCCTTAACGGAAACACGTCTTCTGGAATCTCTGCGTGACAGTTTCCGGCGAGGAGTGGGTGTTCTTACAGGAGGTCCTGAAACCTCTCCACTGTTTTCGCTGGAAGTGTCTCTGAGCCATCCCTCCAGCTCAGCTCCTCTCCCCTGCTGGTTCCCTCATCAGCTGCTGCGTCTCTCCCAACCTGTGTGAGCCCTTTCACCTCCCTGTTGGTTTCCTCTTCAGCTGCTGCGTCTCTCCCAACCTGTGTGAGCCCTTTCACCTCCCTTCCGTCCGATGGCAGTTCCCTGACATCCACCTCCCATCCAGGGCCCCCTTCACCCCCTCTCGCCCCTCCTCTACGGGCGGTGAGGAGGCAAAACCCGGAATGAACTTCCTTCATCTTCCGATGTCTCGAACACTTCTCTCAACCTGTTGCGGTTCCTGGTCTCGAAGTACACCTCCTCCTCAGAGTCCATCTCCCCTTCCCCTTCCGAGTCTGGGAATCCCTCCAACTCCTCCCCTTCATCAGTGGTCCCAAAGTATTCCCTCCGGAACCTCTCTACAGGCTGAGGTTTCCTTGGGAACCTTTGATGGAACGTTTCTATCAATACCTCGTCATTGATATCTTCAGCCATTACCCAAGTGTTTTCTGACTCCGGTTCTCCTTCCCACGCTACCAAATACTCCACCTGATCCCCCTTCCACCTGGCGTCGAGGATTTCTGCCACATGGCTGCTGCATTCTCTTTCTTCTACGACCGGTCCCCGAGTGGCCAGCCCTTCTCGTCCCCCTTCGTACGGTGACAGTAACGACCTGTGAAATACTGGGTGCAGTTTCATGTGGTTGGGTAACCGGAGCCTGAAAGCCACTGGGTTGACCTGTTGAATGACCTCAAAGGGACCCAACCTCCTGGGTCTTAATTTCTTACAACCTCCTTTGAACGGCAGCCCTTGGGTTGACAGCCACACCCTATCTCCCACCCTTATGGTTTCACCTTCCCTTCGGTTCTTGTCTGCCTGCCTCTTGTATTCTTCCTTCGCCCTTTCTAAGTTGAGTTGGAGCTGACGATGGATTGCTTCCATTTCTTCCACAAAATGCTCGGCTGCCGGGACGCTCCATCTCTCCCCCTCTCCCCTGGGAAAGCCCTGGGATGACACCCATAATTAGCCAAGAAGGGGCTCATCCCTGTGGACACATTCTCGGCATTGTTGTAGGCAAATTCCGCCAGCGCCAACTTTTCTACCCAGTCATTCTCTCTGTCATTGACATAACACCTCAGGTATTGCTGGAGGACACCGTTTGCTCTTTCCGCCTGCCCGTTGGTTTCAGGGTGCCGGGCAGTCGAAAAATTGACCTCCACCTGCAGTAAGCTCATGAGCTTCCTCCAGAACCTGGAAGTAAATTGTTTTCCTCGGTCTGAGACCACCCTCAATGGCACCCCGTGCAACCTAAAAATGTTTTCTACAAATAACTTCGCTGTCTCTTCCGCCGTGACTGCATGCGAGCAAGCTACAAAGTGGCACATCTTTGTTAGTAGGTCTACCACTACCATGATGGCTGTTTTCCCTTTGGACTTCGGCAGATCAGTCATAAAATCTATCGACACTGCCTCCCAAGGTCGTTCTGGGGTTGGTAAGGGTTCTAATAGCCCCGCCGGCGCCCGCCTTTCCCCTTTGGCTCGCTGGCATTGCTCGCACCCTCTTACATACTCACGTACATCTTCCCTCACCTTAGGCCACCAAAATTCCCTGGTGACCAACCACATGGTTTTGTGTTGTCCAAAATGCCCCACCGTAGGGCTGTCGTGCAACTGCTTGAGTACCCTCCCCCTTAACTCTCCTTCAGGGATATACAGTGCCCCTTTGTAATACAAAGCTCCATTTCTTTCCTCGAAACCCCCTGGTTCCTCTCCATCACCCCTAAGACCTCTGAGCTTATTCTGGGCGTATTCATCATTCTCTGTTTCCTCTACCAGTTCTCTTTGTCCCACCAATGCCGCCCCACACACCCAGCGGTCTTCTGGAATGACATGTCTCTCTTCGGGTGCCCCCTCCCCCTCCAAATATTCAGGTTTGCGTGAGAGAGCGTCCGCCCTAATGTTCTCTGGGCCTGGCAGCAGAAGCACCGCCCCAATCGCTCTGTCTGATGCGTCAGTTTCCACTCTCATCGGTTTTTGTAAATCCACATGCAGGAGTTGTTGTTCCGAGGCGAAGGCCCTTTTTAGTTCCTCAAATGCTCGCTCCGCCTCCTCAGTCCACACGAACTTCTTCTTACTGCTGAGACAGTCCGTAGTGGGCGCCGTCAGGTGGGCAAAGTTTCGGATGAACTTACGATAGAAGTTCCCAAATCCTAGGAACCTCTGCACATCCTTCTTTGTTTTGGGTGCTTTCCATTCCAGCACAGCCTGGACCTTGCCGGGATCCATGGCCAATCCCTTGTCTGACAGGCGATACCCCAGGAATTCCACCTCCTTGGTATGAAACTGACACTTCTCCAGTTTCACCCACAGCTGGTTGGCTTGCAGCCTGCTCAACACTTCTCTGACGTCTCTCACATGCTGCTCCTCATTCTCAGAATACACCAACACGTCGTCAAAAAGGCCACACAATTCTTGTAAAGCAAAGGCCCCAGGACGTGGTTCATAAACGATTGAAAGGTTGCGGAGCCTGCTTGGAGGCCGAAGGGCATAACCAAATATTCAAATGCCCCTAAAGGGGTGAACATAGTGGTTTTCCATTCATCCCCCTTCCTTATTCGTACCAGGTTGTACGCCCCCCTTAGGTCCAGCTTTGTAAAAATCTTTCCCTTCCGCACCCTTGTCAAAATGTCGTCAATCCTGGGCATAGGGAAGGCTACTGGTTCTGACACTGCATTTAAGGCCCTGAAGTCACACACCAGCCTCGGCTTGTTCGTGTTTTTCTTATCCACGAAAACACTGGGCTGCCCCCACCGCCCTGGACTCTCTGATGAACCCTCTCTTCAGGTTCTTGTCAATGAACTCTCTTAACTCCTGCATCTCTCTGTCTGACATGGCGTACAGCTTGCCTACAGGGAGCTGTGCTCCAGGGAGTAAGTTGATTTGACAGTCAAAGGGTCTATGCGGGGGTAGTTGGTCAGCTTCCCTTTCGCTGAAGACGTCACGGAGATCTGCATATTGTCGTGGTACCTTCACGTTCTCTGTTACTTCAGTCCCTGCTAGGGTGGCTTGGACCCCTGCCAAACCCTTTCCCTCTTTGCAGTGTTCTAAGCAATGTGCTGAACCAAAAGAAACCACTCTCTGATGCCAGCCCACCAGCGGATCATGTAACGCTAGCCAGCTCATCCCCAATATAATGGGAGCTCCTCCCAAGGTGGCCACATTAAAAGCTATCAGTTCGGTGTGCCTTGCTACCTTCATTATCATTGGGACGGTCTGCAAGCTGACTTCTCCACCCAACAGCTCCCTGCCATCGATCGTGGTCACCTGCAGGGGGCTGCTTAAAGGATTGTCTGTATCTGGTGTTCAGCTGCAAACTCTTTGCTCATGAAATTGCAGGAGCTGCCTGAGTCCAACAGCGCCTTTATCTTTAGAGGGTGTCCGTTTGGCAGCTCTAGCGTCACTTCTATCACTAGGGCGGGTTTAGGAGGTTCTGGCGTGGGCACTCTCACTGCTCTTTGGCCTGGCTGCTGTGCCCGACAGTGGCAGCCAGGCGTTGGCTTTTACTTGCTCCGGTATATTTTCCTCTCTTCCATCCACAGCCCCTACCATCCCTTGCCATTCTTTCCTCTGGGGGCAGACTCTGGCAAAGTGACCTGGCTGTTGGCAGAGATAGCATTTCCGGGCGCCTTTTCCCTCCTTCTTTGCCCCCTCACTGGGCTTTGAAACTGCGCGCGCGCTGCTGTTCCGATTTCCATCGGCTCTGCCGGTGGGAAAGTTGGCTCTGGAATGTCTGGAATGCGGAACTCCTTCCAACGTTCCCCTTTCCCTTCCCGCCTCTCCAATGCTCTCGCCTCCTGGCGCGCTCCTATGGCCAGCGCTGATTTGGTCAGCTGGTCCATAGACTCCGCCCTGGGCGCCCGGGAAAGTTCGTCTTTCACAGCCGAAGAAAGCCCTTCTTCAAAGAGCATTTGAATGGGTTCCGCCGATAAGTCCCACCCCAATCTGTGAACAAGCATGGTGAACTCAGTCCAGTACTCACGGACAGATCGGCTCCCCTGTTTGCAACCCATTAACTGTCTGCGCACCACTCCCTTTTCAATATCGCTGGAAAACATCAGATCCATGGCGCGAAAGAACTTCATCGTGTCTTTTAAGACGTCACTATTCGCTGCCATCAGGGTCTAACCCAGTCTCTCGCCCCCTTTTCTAGATGCTCAATCACGAACGCCACTCGTGATTCCTCGTCAGGGATGTCATCAGACTGCAGATTGAGGGCATAGTGCCTTTCTGTCCGAAAACCATGAGAGTTTTTGGGCTCCCCACCAACCTTCTGCACCAATCCTGGTACCTTTCTGGCGAACTGGGTGGCTTTCCCCCTTGTGTCTGCATCCTGAGCCCTCCTCTCCTCAAGCCTCGCCGTCTGCATCGCTAGCTGGACCTCCAACATCTGGTACCTTTCTTCCAGGCTTGGACCCGCTCCAGCTCCTGCTTCTCCGGTTCCGGCTGGGTTGCTCATGATACCTTCTCCTGCACAAGCTGCTTTCAAAGACTGTCGGAATGCTGTGATGGGATGATGAGCTGCTTGTGCGTAAATCGTATCCCCTCAGAGTTTGTTCAAGTCCACAAACCTCTGTCTGTGACAGAGCCCCTCAGACATGGCTACTCTAGTCACTAGCAGATTCCGACAGTGGTTGCTTTCGTAATCGCTTCCAACATAAAAGCTCCTTAACGGAAACACGTCTTCTGGAATCTCTGCGTGACAGTTTCCGGCGAGGAGTGGGTGTTCTTACAGGAGGTCCTGAAACCTCTCCACTGTTTTCGCTGGAAGTGTCTCTGAGCCATCCCTCCAGCTCAGCTCCTCTCCCCCTGCTGGTTCCCTCATCAGCTGCTGCGTCTCTCCCAACCTGTGTGAGCCCTTTCACCTCCCTGTTGGTTTCCTCTTCAGCTGCTGCGTCTCTCCCAACCTGTGTGAGCCCTTTCACCTCCCTTCCGTCCGATGGCAGTTCCCTGACAGATAAGATTTAAGTTTTAAGCTTTAAGGTTTATTTTCTTATAGAAAGATAAGATTAAAACAGTTTAGGGTAATGTAATGACAGAATATTATGAAATATGGAAAGGATTTGCTGGGGTAATTAATAACTAGGATACAAAGAAAGGGAGGAGGAGGAGGTCAAAGAAAGAGGGTAATGACAGTTGAGGATTTGAGAATAATGAATTTGTTTTTAAATGTTCTTAATTGTTTGTGGTGTATTTTTGGTATTTTTTTTCTATCTCTTTTTCTTATTTTTGAATTTGTATTCGTATGGTTGGAAGGGGTTTGTTTTTTTCTTTTTCTACTTTGTTAACTATTTTTATTTTGTATTTTCTTCTGCTTTTATTTTATTTTGTAACACTCTGAAAATTTCAATAAATATCTTATAAAAAAAAAAGGAAGTCCATTCCACTGTCGAACAGAATGTTCCTCCTGATGTTTAGTCTCAGTCTCCCTTCTTGTAACCTGACGCCATGGGTTCGAGATCTACCCTCCCTTGGGAGGTTCCTCCCCTAGTTCCTTCCCTCGCAGCCTGAGGCTCCACCGCCTTGCCTCTCATGGCTCTGCATGTTCTCAGAGAGCGCTGGTTTTGGATGGCTCTCTGCCCCAGCCTCTTCCTGCTCACTACACCCTGTTGCCTCTTCCGCTTCCCGCCCTCCTCCTCCCAGCCTGCTCCCCTTTCTGCTTTTGACTGCTCCTTCTTGTCCCACCCCCCATCTATGCTGTGAGCCTTCTTCCCCCGGGGGCTCCCTTGGGTGGCCCCTCCCTCTGCATCCAGCCAGTCCCTGACCGGCAATCTCTCTCTGTCTCTTTCTCTCAGATCGTATTCCTTTAGGATGATTTATATCTGCATCAAGTTCAAAGGCAACTGGAAGCTTTTGGATCTTTTTGTGGGTTATATGCAAAAAATTAATAATCGGTTCCATATATTTATAAGGATGGCCTAGTGCTTTCTATAAGATTGTAATGAAGGGAACATTTGAGAGGTGTTCTCATTTTCCTGGGTTTCTCCGGCTGGAGGATTCCCAATAATTTTCTGCTTCTGTGTATATTGCTGGAAAATGTGAGTATCATTTGCAAGTTTTGGGAAGCATGCCTATTGACTTACCGAGATTCACTGACTCAGCAGAAAAGAAAAATTGTGGGGTGGAGAAACTCTCCCTCCATCTCTCTCCTCTGTTCATAAAAACCTGCTAGAAACTCTTTTTTAAATTATCTAAAAAGCACTGTGTTCAGCAGGCTTTGGGTTTTTTGGTGTGGTTTTTTTAAAAACCTCTCTAGAAAAAGAACTAATTCATTTAAAAGTACGATATTTGCTTCACTCGAATACTTCAGTGCCTGGTGAGTTTGAGGTCAATGCAGAAGAAGTATTAAAATGGTCCAAGGCCATAATTTCAAACGGGGAGCAGGGTTAGTAAGACTAAATGCAAAGAAGCTGAAAGACCCACTGCATACATTCAAGATTAAAAAAAATTGGGGGGGGGGGGAAGGTTCTGAATTTCTTCTCGTATTTTTTCTATTTTCATAGAATTATTGTCAAGAGACATTAAATAGTTTAAACACAAAGGAGTCATGTGTCATTTGTTTTTCCAAGGCTACTCCAGTCAGAATCGCACTTAGGCTGCAATCTTACTGTCTTTCCATTGGAGGAAGCCCCATCCAACAGAGTGACGCTTATTTTCAAGTAAGGATTAGGCTTGCCTCATAAGAAAATCTGCAGAGGGGTAGTCATATTCTCTTGAGGAAACACAGCACAATAATCTTGTAGCATGTTAACAAGATTAATTGTAATATAAACATCGGATGAAGTGGACTCAGTCCACAAAAGTTTTCAATCGGCTGGTTTTTGAGATGTCTCAAGATTCTTATTCTCTTAAAAACTGTCATCTCTCAGCTTTGCTCCAGTGTTGCAAGTCTGAGAGACTTTAGTGATTGGGATACAGTGGGCCAGGCATGAGAAAGGATGTTTCTGTGCATCTGCTTAGGCCTGAAGCTAAATGGTTGATGCCTTTCGTTATATGTATATCTATTTGTTGAGACATGTAATCCTAGAATTGCCTTGGGAAATAAATTGTGTTTGTGTGTGTGTGCACACAATGAAAGGTTTGGAATACAGTTTATGAACAATTAGATTGTGGCATATATATTCCACGCTCTCACACATACAGAGCTACCTTCTCTGTTGCACGCTGTGCAGTTTGAGTCGAATGGAACAGACTTTCTGCAACCAGCAGCTGCTGCTGCCAATGTTGGTAAGCCACAGGCTAGACTGTAGCATTACCTTCAGATTGTATGTCACCAAAACCTTTAAGTCTGCTTAAAAGGCACACTGTAGAATGTTCTTGAGGTGTATTTGTGTGTGAGAGAGAAACCTGTTCCAGTTCACTCTTTGAACCAAGACAGAAAAAGATATACTACATTATCTCTTTGACTTCATGCCCAGGTTTGGGGATCAGGGAGTACAGATCTTCATGTGACTCTCTCTGGGGATCTCTCCCAGGCTGTCTCTCCCTCAGAAAAAGGAGCCATAAACCAGATATTTATCTCCCCACTTTACAGGGTTGAATTTCTCATTCCTAGGCTGTGCTCATGCTCCCATTTACTCTGAATCCAGTGTGCTCCAACTGCTGCTTTGGAAAGCAGTGTACACATGACATAAACACAATCCACATTTTTCTGTATCTATCCTTTCATGTTTTAAATGAAATACTATGTTTTGATTCATTTTCCCCAACCTAGCTTTGGTCCAAATTGGAAAAAAAGAATAACCTTGTAGTGCTTTAAGCCAGTGATTTGTACACAGACTTGAATACATCTAAACTAGCCAAGTATTCTTGTACTATCTCCTTAGTTATTCTGGGCTGTGTTTCCTCTGCTGAATCATTTGCTCCAAATTCTTCAGGTCGGGCATTGTTTTCTTTATTGGAGAAGACTGAGGCAAAGAAGGCATTGAGGAGTTCAGCCCTTTCTGTGTCCCCTGTTTGCATTTCACCATCTTCTCCTCTGAGTGACCCCACTGTTTCTTTGTTCTTCCTTTTGCTACGAACATACCCATACAAGCCTTTATTGTTGCTTTTAACCTCTCTAGCAAGCCTGAGTTCATTCTGTGCTTTAGCTTTTCTGACTTTGTGTCTACATGTGCTGGCTATTTGTTTGAATTCCTCTTTGGTGGTTTCCCCCCTTTTCCATTTTTTGGACACATCCTTTTTTAATCTTAACTCAGTTAAAAGTTCTTTAGATAGCCACCCTGGCTTCTTTAGGCACCTTCCATTTTTCCGTCTCATTGGTATTGCCTGAAGTTGTGCTTTTACAATCTCCCTCTTAACAAACTCCCAGCCATCTTGAACTCCCTTTCCTTTTAGTATTACTGTCCATGGGATTTCACCCAGCACTTCCCTAAGTTTTATGAAGTCGGCTTTCTTAAAGTCAAGAAATTGAGTCCTAGTATGCTTGGCTGCTCCTTTCCGCTGTATAGTAAACTTCAGAAGAGCATGATCACTCGCGCCTAATGATCCTTCCACTTCTACCCCACTAACCAGGTCATCAACATTGATTAGGACCAGATCTAAAATGGCTGTTCCTCTTGTTGCTTCTCCCACTTTCTGGACAATGAAGTTGTCTGCAAGGCCAGTGAGGAATCTGTTTGACCTTATGCTCTTGGCTGAGTTTGACATCCAACAAATATCCGGGTAATTGAAGTCCCCCATTACTACTATCTCCCTTCCTTTTGCATGCTTGGCCATCTGTTCCAGGAAGGCATCATCTATGTCCTCCGTTTGGCTTGGGGATCTATAGTAAACTCCCACAATGAGGTCACTGTTATTCTTCTCTCCTTAATTTTGACCCAAATGCTCTCACTTTGGCTTTGAGGTTCTAAATCTTGGATCTCTTCACAGGTATACACATCCCTGACATATAACGCCACTCCTCCTCCTTTCTTGTCTGGTCTGTTTCTCTGAAATAGATTGCATCCCTCCATTATTACATTCCAATCGTGGGACTTATCCGACCAGGTTTCAGTGATGCCTATTATGTCATATTTAGTTTGCTGTACCAAGAGCTCAAGCTCATCTTGTTTATTTCCCATGCTTTGCGCATTAGTGTACAGACATTGAAGTCCATTAATCATTCCCATGTTTCTTATTTAAGGATTTTTTCCTCCCACCACTAGGTCTGCGTGCTGTTTGCTCCATTTGGTCTATGACATTTGGATGATCATCTTCATCAATTGATAAACTCCTACCTTCAGGAGCACTGTCTTCCTCCCCCACATTAGTCAGTTTAAAGCCCTCCTGATGAGGTTTCTGAGATTTTTGGCAAAAAACATTCCTCCCAACCATTGTGAGGTGCAGCCCATCACTTGCCAGAAGTCCATCTTCAAGAAACTGCAGTCCGTGATCTAAGAATCCAAACCGTTCCTGTTTACACCATTTGCGAAGCCAGCTGTTCACTTCCACTATTTTCCCCTCTCTCCCTGGGCCACGTCGTTCAACTGGGAGGACAGATGAGATTACAATTTGTGCATTTAATTGCTTCAATTTCCTGCCCAGAGCCTCGTAGTCTCTTTTGATCTTCTGGAGGCTATTGCTGGCAGTGTCATTGGTTCCCACATGAACCAAGAGGAAAGGGTATTTGTCAGTGGGTTTTAGGATTCCTTGCAGTCGTTCAGTTACATCTTGGATCTTAGCCCCGGGGAGACAGCACACTTCCCGAGACATCTTGTCAGGCCCACAGATCACTGCTTCTGTTGCCCTCAGTAGGGAATCCCCTATCACCACTACACGCCTCCTCTTAGGTTTGGTCGGGGTTCTTCCGTGAGCTGTCCGTTCCAAGGTCGCCTGCACATTCCCTGAGGACTGACTTTGCTGCTCGTCTTCATATACCTGATCGACTGTAATGAGGGAGAGATCCTCAAATGGAGTCTGCTCTTCGTCTTCCATGCTAGGGGAGAGGACCTCAAAGCGATTGTGTATTTCTAAACAATCAGAGCGAACCCTGGGCCTCCTCCATGAATGCTGCAAGGGGGGGGGGTTGGTCTGCATGGTTCCATAGTCCCCTCAAGCTTGCTTTCAGTGTGTGCATGGGCATGCAGGGTATTTCTGATACCCCCCCCCCCATTATATGTTGCTACTGTTGTCTTCAGAATGCTGGAGAGTTCTCCAAGAGGTATATTCTCTGGGTGAACTCTTGTTCTTAAAAATGCTTTCAAAAAGAAATAAGCACCTTTGTACAGAGAGAAATGGTATACTATTTAAAGCACAATATTAGAAGATTACCCTCCGCTTTTAAAATCCAGTTTATAGTTCAGGAGCCATGTGAAAGGAAGCAAGTACAGTGGTACCTCGGGTTAAGAACTTAATTCGTTCTGGAGGTCTGTTCTTAACCTGAATCTGTTCTTAACCTGAAGCACCACTTTAGCTAATGGGGCTCCTGCTGCCACGCGATTTCTGTTCTCTTCCTGAAGCAAAGTTCTTAACCCGAGGTACTATTTCTGGGTTAGCGGAGTCTGTAACCTGAAGCGCCTGTAAACTGAAGCGTCTGTAACTCGAGGTACCACTGTAATCTGATTTGCACAGAGCCCAAGTGGATTCCCTTTGAGCCTATTTTGAATTTGTGCTAGGTTAATCTCAAGTTGGTAGAACATAGTTTCCCGGCCTCACCATTTTACAGAGCAAATTTCATCCCTAAAAGCTTTTTCAAGTACTTTATTAGTTTAATTTGCTGCAGGTACAAAGCACATACTTTCCCCCAGGTGGCTGCCATGGCCCTTTGAGCATATATGGTTTACGACATGTAAAGCTGCCTTGAGAGCAGGCTGGCACTTGCGTATGCTTTATCTTCTGCTTAGGATGATTGCTGTGCGCCACTTGTGCATGTTTTTGCAATTATCACATCATGAAGAAACCTGGAGAGAGGGAAAGAGAGGCTTTACCAGGAGTTTCAACAACCCATTAGCATGCTGCAGTCCTGAATTTTGTTTATGCAATCAATATCTGAAGGCAGGAACACAAGGAAAAGTGATTATCAGGACAGAAAGATCTCTAGGAACTAAAATGAAGGGAAGTGTGCCACTTTTTCATTGGATGCGCACAGACAAGCAGCCCCATGGCAGTTCATATTTCATAGTTTGGCACCAAATTCTCCCATGTCATTCACTGTAAAAGGAGGGAGGGATGCACACCATAGTATCTTCCTGTCGCTGTACGGGAGGAGGAGTTCACTTAGCTCAATAAAGATAAACCTCAGTAGAGAACTGTTTACACTAATGATAGTTGGTGTGGTTTTCCATGTGACTGCCCTGACTTATCAGAAACATGGGAGTTCCTTCATTCACCCTTCCAAGGGCATTCTGTACCAGGGGCTGCACCCCACAAGCCCACCAACTCCCTCCTCCCTTTACACCTCACCAAAAACATCTCCTCCCCTTAGAGCTCACCCCTCCCCTTCCTTCTTGCCAAAACTGCTGCTCCTTCCCGGCTTAGACCTTGCTAAAGCTCTGCAGCTCCTCTGGGATGCCTGCTTCCTTGCTCACCTGCCCAGCCATCTTCCCCTCTGGGCTTCCCAAGCACCTGCTGCCACTGAGGTCAGCCTGAAAAGGAAGCCTGGAAAGAATACTAACGTTATTTTCTACAGATATCTATCCAACTTTGGAAATTCTTTGCCACAGCCTTTTCCTTGTGTCAAGGAGTTCCAGCCAGATGAGCAGGGTATATTGTTATTGTTATTATGCTTAAAGCTTAAGCAAAAGCCTTATCCAAAAGATGCACGTTCAAGGGATGAGTTCCATGCAAAGAGGTCAAAGATGTCGAGCAAAGGACTTGTGGCATTTAGGGTGGTACCGTGAGAAAGGCAGGAGTCATGGGAGAATGAGAGTCAAAGACAGAACGACTGGCTGCAGTGTGGAGGGCTTTGCAAGGGACGGACAAAAGTCTTGTGCTGGGAATAGGTAGTAATTGTTTGCTTTTGCTGAGGATCTAACAAACAAGCACAGTTAACAAAAACCCATTTCACTTTACTGAAATTGAGTCGCATACTGTTTATTCTAGTGGTGTTCTAGTGGTCTAAGTATACAATACTTAGAAAATTTATCAGTAAAGAAATAGATGTCTATGATGCCGTGCTTGGAAATCAGAAATACATAAGCCCCAAACCAGAAAAATCCTTGCGGAGAAGCCCCATCTGTTAGATAGTTGCTAAAGGGCTCAAAGGTGCAACGGACATGCTGTGGATTGAGGTCACAGTCATACAGTAAGAACGCTGGAGGAAGCTTGGAACAGAAAGGTCTGTGCCTGGAAACCTTTCTCTGCAACAGAACATCATTTCAGCCTGACAACAGGAAAGAAGGCAACGCACTGAAAAGGAGACCTTGTTAGTTAGAAATAGGCTTGCTTGGCAAAGTGGAATTCCCACCTTGTTCACAGCAGACTGAAACTGGTGGACTTGATAACATCCCATCAAAGCAACAGCTTGCAAATGAGAATTCTCTCAGCCTTACCGACAAAGATTCAGGGCACAAATGCATCACAATACGCAACATTATATTAGTTTAAAAGTCATTCCTGCTCCTCCAAGTGGTTCTTTAATGGAAGTCTCAGCACCTTAGCAGAGCCACAGTCCCAAGGGTGGCTTTAATACCTATTGTATTGTGTTTATTGTTTTTACACATTACCCTTCAGTACGGAAATTATCAGGGCATCTTACAGAATTAAAATTTAAAGAAGTAAAAATAAAACACGCTTCAGTGAAACAATGCAAAGATAAAGCAGGGGATGAAAAGAGCTTTGTTTCCAGATGTGTGACTGTAGGAAAGTTACCTTTCCAGTGCAATCCTATTTATCACAGACTTGTAGAGTTAGAAGGGACCCCAGGGGTCATTTAGCTCAACCCCCAACCTCTACTGAATTCAATGAAACATTTTCCCAGCAGTCAGGGCAGTGCTTGGGAAATTCATTTTAAACTGGAATTAGGGCAAGTTCAAGTTCATCCTGCCAAAAATAAACTAGTTCCAGTTCATACCTGCTTTTCTACATAACATTCAGGTTCAATTCAAGTTCACCCAGCTGAACCTTTTAATTCCTCAAAAGTTCATCCTTTGGAGGGGGGAGTAAAATAAATTTAAATATTCAGAATGTTACAAGCTGCTGTGCTAAAGTGTAGGGACCAAAAGTAAATCAGGGCCCCCATACTCATAATACGATATATGACCCACAGAATGTCAATGGGTGACATTCTGTTTCCATGCAATGTCTATTAAAAGGACAAAACCTCCTTCACTTCGTTTCTGTGCCTGTACTTCTTACTGCAAGCTGCTCCTGTTGGGAGAGAGCAAATCTCTTCAGCAGGGAAGATATAGGAAATGTCTCACATCCGCTCCTTCTGACTGCTTGGGAACAGTGATTAAATGACTAAGTGGCCACAGCAACAGCAGCTCCTCTGCATCTGCTCAATAAGCCTTAGAATGCTGTCTCCATGTTTCGTATTCTAACTTCCTTTGTAGATGGTCCATTAATGTACTTTTAAAAAGAAAGAAACTGGTGCTGGATTCAACTAACACATTCACTAGCGGAAACCACCTAATTTGACTCTTTAGTATAGAAGTAACCCCAGAGGGAATTTGAGAATGATGAGACTGTTTCTCAGATAAGCCTCTGGCTTGATCCAAATCCAGTGGGAGTCATTGGCTTACATGGCGATATCTCTGCTTATTTTGGTTTATAAGAACAGTTTTGGAATATTCTATTTATTTTACATTTTAAAAAATGTTTCTGAAAAGTGACTTATATTCTTATATGTTGTGTGTGTGTTCTTTTAAAGAAAAAGTGGTCCCTGTTGTCTTATGGATGGACAAATAGGCGACAATGAAATTCCAACTCAGTGGTCTAAAGTCCTTTAGCCCACAAGAGGCACTTGCTTGATTCCCCACCTGCAGTCACATTCCTTGCTCTAGCAGCGACCAGCTGCCTCAGCAGCTGAGCAATTTGCTGCTGCTGCATTCAGAGGTTATGGACAGCCTGACCATTCTTCTTTAACCACACCATGTGCTTAGAGGCCTGCACTTCTCTTGCAGCCATTCAGTGGAAACAACGGTGGGAATCTGAGGAAGCAAAACATGTTTGCTGACCAGTGAATATTGCTCTTAATTGCAAAACAAATAATAATAATAATAGTAATAAATTTTACTTAAAAACACAATCCCAGAATGCTTTCAGGAGGGGCAAGATTCTTTCTCACACACCTACACTAGCCCTGTTGGTAGAGCATGAGACTCTTAGTTTCAGGGTCATGAGTTTGAGCCCCACCTTGGGCAAAGGATTCCTGCATTGCAGGGCGTTGGACTAGATAACCCTTGTGGTCCCCTGCAACTCTACAATTCTATGATTCTATACCCACAAACTCCATTCCCAGGGCTCTAACTCAGAATCCTACTTGTACTTATTGTTTACCATTCTGCTGTATGGTCCAAAGGCACATGAGGCCACCCACTTGCTGAAGCTAAGCACATCTGGGACTGGTCAGTACCTTATTGGGAGACCATCTGGGAACCATGGGTACACCCAGTAGGGGATGGCGTGACATGCCTGCACCACTCACTGACCTTTGTGTGGCTGATTCGTGGCAGCACCCTGGGATGGAGAGGGCTGATTGGTGGAGAAATACAAACACCGCAGCAGGATCATGAATTGGTTCTGCTGGCATGTTTGCACCATGCCAACCTCACTGCTGCCATGCCCCTCTCCACCACAATACATGTCAGGGTGGGTGTATTTCACCATACAGTGGAATAATGTGGAATCCATTAAGAAAACTTGGTGATGGGTTAGTATTGTCTTTGACAGGCGTTAATGCAAGACAGATTTTCAAGAAGTGTCTCCTCTTGCAACTTGCATTGGCCACAGCACAGTTAAAAGTGTCATAATGCTTTAAAATATCATACTCACATTGTTAATAAATAGCATTTCTGGTTGGGTTGTGCTCAGTCTTGCGTGTAAAAGAGTGCTTCTTGGTTCTGATTAAAAGCAAAATAGGCAGGTTCCTGGAATCTAATGTTTATGCACCATAAGGACTACTGCAATATCCAATAGTAGTCATGGCCAGTAATATAATCAGGGTTGTTTGTATTCTGCAATTTCAGCAAGTGTTGAGCTGTGTATGTGCAAAATGTGATAAAGGACAGAGAATTTAAACTTCCAGAGAATCTTTCCTTTAGGCTGCAATTCTCTACGCATTTTTCTCAGAGTAGACATTTATAGCAGTGGCGTTGAGTGCCTTACATAGACTTCAGCTGGAAAGGGATAGCCTAACTTCTGTTGTCTTTGCTTGAGTAACCTCTACGTTAGATTATTGCAGCACATTATATGTGGGGCATCTGAAGACAGCTCGGAACTTCAGCTTGTGCAAAATTCAGGGGCCTCGTTGCTCACCAGGGCAAGACAGGTTAAGTATCTAACATCGATCCTGGCCTGACTGCACTAGCTGCCAGTTAGTTTCTGGGCCTAATTCAAAGTGCTGGTTTTGACCTATAAAGCATTAAATGGCTCAGGACAGCAATACCTCAAGGACTGTCTTTCCCCATATGAACTGACCCATCATTCTCTGAGGCCCTTCTTTGTGTCCCTCCTCCATAAGAAACCTGGAGGGCGTCAACATGAGAGCAGGCTTTTTTCATTCTTTTATTTAAAAAGTTTGTTATCTTGATTTCCTATTTTTCTGGTAAATTTTTGCCATTTCTGCATATTCCCTAAGTTTTTGCATCCATTCTTCTTTTGCTGGGATTTCTTCTTCTTTCCCTTTTTGGGCAATGAAGTTGCCCATCCAACAGATAGCAGCACCTGGTCAGCAGACAAAGCTGACCCACAAGCCAGATGGTGCATTCTCAACTATGGTGAAATGCACTGTATTTCTACTGTACTGATTTGTGCTGGACTGGATGAGCTCCAGTAAACAGTTATTGAATCCCAAGAAGATGAAGGCTCTTTGAGTGGGTGGCTTCTGTGTCCAGGAGATAGGAAAGCTACCTGTTCTGGATGGCATCACATTCTCTCTGAAGTAGCAGGTGTGCAGCTGTCATGGACTTGCTGGATGCAGAGGAGTGGTGGGAGGCTGGGGAACCCCCAAAGAAAGACAGCTCAGAGCCAGGGGAGTGGTGGTGGGATGACCATGAATGGTTGGAGGGAGCAGAGGAGGAGGTGATGGTAGCTGAAGAGGTAACAGCACTTAGTGAACTGGTACAGTCTGTGGCAGAGAGCAGTTCAGAATCAGGCAGAAGAGAGGCTGGAGGGGGGGCAAGAGACAGCAATAAGGCAGGTTGCTGAAGAAGCCAGGGGGTCTCTCCCTCCTGCTGCAACCAGTCCCCTTCCCACCTGGTCTCCCAGAATGAAAAGGGGACGAAGCAAAGACAGGCAAGGCGACGAAGTCTCGGGTTGCTTGGAAAGGACTCTGTGGGGAGCTGTGGGGAGACGAGGACCTTCAGTCCTCATAGCTGCCTCATTGGAGCAAGATCTACTGGGAAGATCTACTGGCCTCCCAAGTTATCTTATTTATTTGAATAAAGAGCTAACTTCATTAATGCTATGTAGGTTATTGCTGACCTGCTCCTCACACAGTAGTTTGGGGCAATTCCTGGATACATCTTTGTCACTAGAGGCCCGTGTCCTCTGCGGCTAGGAGGGCCTTTTGCCCAGCACGTTTTTTCTTTAAAAAAAAGGTTAGGGGTACTTTCATTTTCCTACTCATATTGAAATACTGCCCTTCAATGAGGCCAAACTTAGATTCACAAAATGTTAGGGGGTATGCGTCTCCCTGGCCGCCCCGCCCCCCCAGAAAAAAGCACTGCTTTTACCAGTTTTGTCTGGTTCGCTAGCTATGGGTGTTTCTGGACAGGGATTGCCTGGCCACTATAGCCCAGGCACTGATAACCTCGAGGCTGGATTACTGCAATGCGCTCTATGTGGGGCTGCCTCTGGGTCTGGTTCAGAAGCTAAAGCGGGTGCAGAATGCAGCGGCGTAGCGTGGGTTGTCAGCATCCGGGGCAAGGCAAGTAATTTGCGCCCCCTAACCCGGGGCAAGGCAAGTAATTTGCGCCCCCTAACCCCTAACCTGCCGCCGCTGCCAGCTTCTTCTTGCTGCTGCCTGGGCTGGTCTGGTGTGGTTCTCTCCCGCGCTCAGCGCTGCGCTGGGCGGCCGCTGCACTGTCCCTCCCCCAAATAGTCCCTCGCTCTCTCTCCGCACCGCACGCCTGGCACCCACCCCCTCCACAGTGGGCGGCGACCCAGCGGCTGGGATTGGATTCGCACAGCCAGCACTGCAGTGAGAGAGAGTGAGTGAGCCAGGTAGGGGCAGAGAGCTGCGAGTGTGAGCGCGCCCCCCCAGATGTTGCGCCCGGTGCGGCCGGCCCCCCCTGCACCCCCCACGCTACGCCACTGGCAGAATGTGGCAGCCGGACTGCCAATGGTGGCACCATTGTTTGAAAATCTGCACTGCCTACTTATCTACTGCTGACCCAGCTTCAAAGTCCTTGTATTAATTTACATAGCCCTGAGCAACTTTGGTCCAGGATACTACAGGTAGCATCACTGAGATCACCTGAAGGAGTGTCATTTGACATGAGAAGAAACAGAGGCTTTAGTGTGACCAGCCCAGTCCTCCTCTGGTATACTTTGCCAGTAGATTCAGTATGCACCTTCTTTTTCAACCATTAAATGCCTGATGAAAACTTGCTGTTCCACCAAGCTTATGCAAGCAATTAAGAATACCTATTTCCATAACAGTTAGTTAATGGTCTGATTTTACATTTTATGTGTTTTATTATATTATTGTAAACTGCTTTGTGCTGTTACAATGTAGTGGTATATAGATGTGTCTCCCCAAAAAGGTACCACCACTCCCCAGTTTGTCCACCCTTCATTCCCAGGCTGCACTCAGCTCTCATCTGTGGCTCCTAGAAGCCATCAGCCGGCAACCCCAAGAACAGCTTCCGCTGGCCGGCTAAGCCAGGTGCAGGGAGCTGATGGGTCTCAAACCCCCAGTGAGTTAGGGAAGACAGCCTCCGGCAGATTGAGCGGATGAGATCAATAGTAGGTCCTGTCAGGTATGATGGCGTTTCTGAGGTACAGAGACCATAGAGTGTACAGAAGCTAACAGGAGTATTCTGGTGTATTCTAGCGTGTTTGGAAAGTTCCCAAGGGAACAGAAACGCAGCTGCAATGAGATCACTTTGTTATCGGCTCCCCTCAAGGCCAAACTGCCCCAGGACTGTCTATAATTGCAGTCCAACTCATGTTATTCACTCTCCCCCAGTTCTTTCTCTCTCTCATTCTGTACTGATTTTTACTTGCTCAGTGTATATAGTATGTTTAAGTTTTATTTTACTGTTGTATTTTGCTGCAACTGGATTATTAAGAAACTGCCAATCCAGAGATCTGGTACTGAACTGTTAAGTTTATTTTTGCCTTCGTAAATCTTTACTAGTGTCCTGAGTCCTCTTTGGAGCGACACATCTTTTTGGAGCTGCTACTCTGCTAACAACTGAGCAGACAGGTTACCAGCAGGCAATATTTTGCAGAGTGTAGGGAGACAACACTTGAAATCTATGGCATTTTATAACATTGCTCATAAAAAATGCAAGGTGGTGTGAGAAGAGAGGACAGGTAGTTGTTGCTGGCATTTGACATGAGAGACAATGGAGTACACCTCCAGGGATGAAGTCAAACTGGTATATGAGTGACCTTCCCAGGGAACAAGCCTAGGCAGTGTGGATGGAGGTCCTGGGCGGCCCAAATGACAAGGGCCCCCTCTCGGCCTCACTGATGTGGTCCAAAGGAAAGCAGAACAATACATTTGCCACTAGCTTGGCTGTAGGAGTTGCCAGAAGGAGGCAGACAAGGTGCCATCCAACCGTCTTAGGGACTCCACTCTGGATTTGTAGAGGGTTTACTCCTGAGTCTTTTCTTCTTCTCCCCAAATATATCCTGCAAGGCAGCAGAGGGTTATCAGAGTTTTCCTTCTCCCAAATGGGCTCCCTTCCTAGGTTGACGAGACCCATTTGCCCCTCACTTCCATCTACAGCACGTGCAGGAACCGCCTTCTTGACTGTTGGACCCATTCTTGGTCTCGCCCACTTCATCTGCCAGAGCCTATGTTCGCATGCAGGAGAAGCCCCTAACTCACTGGGGTTTGAGCCTCATTGGCTACCCTCACCTGGTTTAGCCGGCCAGTCAAAACCATTCCTCTGTCACATGCTGACAGCTTCTAGGAGCCACAGGTGAGTGCAGTATTGGGACCAAAGGTGGACAAACTACCCCAGAAGGAGCACAACTTGTACCAGAGGTACTACTCCTCCCTTAACACCCTATAAACCCCACATGGAGTGAGAGTCATATAATGGCATCCATTCCATCCCCCAGCAACAGCATAAGACAATTCAGGAAGCCAAGACTGTTGTTTGCCATCCAGTTGCTAAACTCAGTGTGCTTCTCTTGCAATCTCAAAACAAACTGCTCAGTTCAGCTGCCAGCCAGGCAGACTGGATGAGGTATATGCCGCAAATGTCGTAGCTGGCCGGTAGCACCCACCATTAAGCAAGCACCTTCAGACAGCAAATTATACAGATGCTTTGAAAGGAGGTAATTTTGCATATCCAAAGAGCAAGCTGGCAAAAATATTATGTCTTTAAATGCTGGGGAAATCTGATCTGCCCAACTCTAGAAGCATTTTCTCAAAGGAAAACAGCTGTATCACCTGGGATAACTAAAATAACAACTGCACATTTATTATGCAAAATGGCCTTGAGATACATTTTCCCTTTAGCTTAAGGGGGGGGGGGGAGCAAACGCCAAATTGGGTCCTTAGCCTGCTTTCTGCAAGTGGAATTTATGAGGCATAATTCTGATGGCTCACCTCACTCGGCAAGTGCATTTGTTTTCAATTGCAAACCCAGCAAAAGACAGTGTGCTCCAAGAATATATTGGAGACATGCTCTCTCTCTCTGCTCCAGTGAGCAAGTCTATTTCCCCCCGTCCTTCTGAACTTGAATGACCTTTTAAGTTTATGCTTACTTCTCCTTTACAATTGTGATCTGGATGTGTCATATATGATCCCCCCTCCCCCAAAAATACAAATGGGTGAAGCTGATTTAAAGGTAAAGGTAAAGGTACCCCTGACCAGTAGGTCCAGTCACAGACAACTCTGGAGTTGTGGTGCTCATCTCACTTTACTGGCCGAGGGAGCCGGCGTACAGCTTCCGGGTCATGTGGCCAGCATGATTAAGCCGCTTCTGGCGAACCAGAGCAGCGCACAGAAACGCCGTTTACCTTCCCGCCAGAGTGGTACCTGTTTATCTACTTGCACTTGATGTGCTTTTAAACTGCTAGGTGGGCAGGAGCAGGGACCGAGCAACGGGCGCTCATCCTGTTGCAGGGATTCGAACTGCCGACCTTCTGATTGGCAAGCTCTAGGCTTTGTGGTTTAGACCACAGCGCCATCCATGTCCCTTGAAGCTGACTTACATTGAGTTAGATCAGGGATTGGGAACCTGTATCCCTCCAGATGTGGCTGGAATTTATCAGTCTCAGCCAGCATGACCAATGGTCATGGATGATGGGTGTTGGCTTCCAACAACATATGTAGTGACACAGGTACTCCACCCTGTGGACCACTGCTGCATTTAGCCCAGTATCGACCACTCTCTAGCTAGAAAGGCCAGGCGTCAGAGATGATGGGAGCTGGAGCTCAACAACATCCAGGGGCCCAAGGCTGAGAAAGGCTGGTACTCTGACTACCAATGGATCTGTGTCTAGGAATAGGTATTTCCCATCATCTGCTACCCAAAAAAAGAAAAAAAATAAAGTTGTAGGGATTGATATTTTTGTCATCTTTTAGCACATTGACACTTTGGTTATTTGTAATTATAATGGTTAAGACTATGTTTTTCAATTGTTGTTTGTCATATTCAGCCTTGAAAGCACTTTCAACCTTTAATAAATATACAGTGGTACCTCGGGTTAAGAACTTAATTCGTTCTGGAGGTCCGTTCTTAACCTGAAACTGTCCTTAACCTGAGGAACTACTTTAGCTAATGGGGCCTCCATTGCTGCTTCGCTGCCGCCATGCAATATCTGTTCTCATCCTGAAGCAAAGTTCTTAACCCAAGGTACTATTTCTGGGTTAGCAGAGTCTGTAACCTGAAGCATCTGTAACCTGAAGCATCTGTAACCTGAAGCATCTGTAACCTGAGGTACCACTGTAATATATATTTAAAAGTATGTTCAAAATTTCTGATGCTGTTATTCAGGATTTGCAGTTTTCTTTTGAGAGTAACCTTTTTGTCTTTGAAGTCACTTTTAGATAGAAAATCCCTAAAGCAAGATGACCTAATAATCAGGCTTATATAAATAACATTCTTAAGTCTAATCAATGCATGAAGGGGTTAAGGCCATGGAGCAAGCTGTCCTGCCAGGCTTAGCTCACCTTGGGAGGGGCTGAGGATTCAAGCCTTTCTTCCCTTTTCAATCTACCTGCGAAGCTCAGCATATGAAGAGCCTTGAACTGGCTGCTCCAGCTCCAGCTCCAGCTTAAGCTCATGGCTCTTACAAGCCATTCTTGAGTTCCTAAACCAAGTAACTAAGCCAAGTTTTACTGCCTGTGCAACTTTTTTGCATGCTGTACAGAAAAGTTGGATCTGACCTTTGGAGACTTTGTAAGAAAACCAATGTGTAAGAAGGAATTTTTAGAATGTACAGGGGCATATTTTAAAGATCTAACAGCCTATATTTCCATGCTTTACTTTGCTGCATGATTTGTGGTTTTAAATCTCTGCTAGGTTTTGGCTTCCAGGAATTCTCCTTCTATATACATACCTGTATTTTCATTGCTACGAACACTAAAAGTGGCATTCACCACCTACAAGGGGGAAATAACCATGTCTAAACATGCTGTGTCCCACACATTTCTATCCAATAAGCATAGGAAATGCCATGGGTTCATAGCTGTCAACTTACAGATTTGAAAATAAGGGACCAGAAGCCTTGAAAATAAGGGACCAGCAGCCAAAATAAGGGACCTGCAGCCTCACTTGTTCCAGGCACTCCAGTCTTCCTGTCCTCCTGCAGTCTGGTCAAAATCAATTGATAGACTCCTACCTTCAGGAGCACTGTCTCCCTCCCCCACATTAGTCAGTTTAAAGCCCTCCTGATGAGGTTTCTGAGATTTTTGGCAAAAACATTCCTCCCAACCGTTGTGAGGTGCAGCCCATCGCTTGCCAGAAGTCCATCTTCAAGAAACTGCAGTCCGTGATCTAAGAATCCAAACCGTTCTTGTTTACACCATTTGCGAAGCCAGCTGTTCACTCCCACTATTTTTCCCTCTCTCCCTGGGCCACGTCGTTCAACTGGGAGGACAGATGAGATGACAATTTGTGCATTTAATTGCTTCAATTTCCTGCCCAGAGCCTCGTAGTCTCTTTTGATCTTCTGGAGGCTATTGCTTGCAGTGTCATTGGTTCCCACATGAACCAAGAGGAGGGGTTATTTCATAGAATCATAGAATCATAGAATCATAGAGTTGGAAGAGACCACAAGGGCCATCGAGTCCAAGCCCCTGCCAAGCAGGAAACACCATCAGAGCACTCCTGACATATGGTTGTCAAGCCTCTGCTTAAAGACCTCCAAAGAAGGAGACTCCACCACACTCCTTGGCAGCAAATTCCACTGTCAAACAGCTCTTACTGTCAGGAAGTTCTTCCTAATGTTTAGGTGGAATCTTCTTTCTTGTAGTTTGGATCCATTGCTCCGTGTCCGCTTCTCTGGAGCAGCAGAAAACAACCTTTCTCCCTCCTCTATGTGACATCCTTTTATATATTTGAACATGGCTATCATATCACCCCTTAACCTCCTCTTCTCCAGGCTAAACATGCCCAGCTCCCTTAGCCGTTCCTCATAAGGCATCGTTTCCAGGCCTTTGACCATTTTGGTTGCCCTCCTCTGGACACGTTCCAGTTTGTCAGTGTCCTTCTTGAACTGTGGTGCCCAGAACTGGACACAGTACTCCAGGTGAGGTCTGACCAGAGCAGAATACAGTGGCACTATTACTTCCCTTGATCTAGATGCTATAGTCCTATTGATGCAGCCCAGAATTGCATTGGCTTTTTAGCTGCCGCGTCACACTGTTGGCTCATGTCAAGTTTGTGGTCAACCAAGACTCCTAGATCCTTTTCACATGTACTGCTCTCAAGCCAGGTGTCCCCCATCTTGTATTTGTGCCTCTCATTTTTTTGCCCAAGTGCAATACTTTACATTTCTCCCTGTTAAAATTCATCTTGTTTGTTTTGGCCCAGTTCTCTAATCTGTCAAGGTCGTTTTGAAGTGTGATCCTGTCCTCTGGGGTGTTAGCCACCCCTCCCAGTTTGGTGTCATCTGCAAATTTGATGAGGATGCCCTTGAGTCCATCATCCAAGTCGTTGATAAAGATGTTGAATAAGACCGGGCCCAAGACAGAACCCTGTGGCACCCCACTAGTCACTCTTCTCCAGGATGAAGAGGAACCATTGATGAGCACCCTTTGGGTTAGGAAGCTTCCCCCACCTATTATGTCCTGTTGAGAAAACATCAGCCAATCTTTTTTTATTTATCCTTAGCAAGATCACCACCAAAAAACAAGTAGTATTAGATTCTCTGCTATAGAGTTGCCATATCTTGAAGAGCAAAAAAACCCCGAGCCGCTGCCAGCCTGAGCTGGGGAAAGAGGCATGCGGGGGCGCAGGGCTGCTGCCGTGCCCATGGGCCTTTCCCCCAGCAAGGCTGTCCACTCACTCCAATGGAAACACGAAGGGGCTGCATTCTGACACTATTGTCTTCTGACACAATGCCTTCCTCCCCCGACTTGCTGACACAGTTCCCATAAGGAAATAAAATGTGTTTTCATCTCAGGCGCTAGTCAGATGTGCAGACACGCAGCCTGTCATATGAGTGGCAGGCATTTTGCTAGTTAGAAAGTGAGTTGTGTTTGAAAAAGCTAAAGCAGAAGTCATCTTTGTAGAGCCGTAAGAATGCCTTGGGGGATTTTTCTATAACTATCTTGAGTACAATGGTGGAGGGTACTTTACTTCTTCATCTCCTTCACATCTGTTAAGTGTTTTCAAAAGCAGAGATAATTTATAATGGGGGAGATGCATTCCGGTGGCGAAAACTGCCACTGACTTGGACAGAATGAAGGCTTGACATGTTCATATGTCAGCAGTTTAGTTTAATATAGAAGGGCTTTTGTTAGGGAGCATTACTTTGAACATTTTTAAAAGCAGGAGAGAGTGAATATAAAACTCTGTTCGGTGGATATATCTAATATCTAGCCCCAGTCTTGAAATGTAGCAAAGCATTAAGAAAAAGTATGTTTTTTCTTTACGGAAAAACATCCTGTAACCACGTGCTCTGCAGTTTTAAGTATAATCTTCAAGTCTGATGGAAGGGGAGCGAAGCATAATTATAGGAGGGGCAGGAAGATACCCCTCCCACTTCCCCTCAACTTCAGAAGCGGGGGTATAATTAATATAACCTTCCCTTCCAAGTACAAACTCATTTGGCCTGAAGCCAGTTTGCATGGAGTGATAAATTATGGTTCATTCTATTAGCAGGATTGGGGAGCTTGCTAATGCGCATGGCTAGGCCACTCCCACTTCATTCTCCCCCAGTGCAATCGGGATCAACAAGTCTCGGTTGGTAGAGCATGAGACTCTTAATCTCAGGGTTGTGGGTTTGAGCCCCACCTTGGGCAAAGGATTCCTGCACTGCAGGGGTGGGACTAGATGACCCTCGGGGTCCCTTCCCACTCTCTAAGCCATGTTGCCCAGCATTGTTGTTATGTCCAAACTGGGATTGTGGTTTATTTCTCTCTAACAAAACATCCTCAGCAAGTCAACATTATTGTTATGGCTCATTGCAACATGAAAACAATGAGTGCATAGGAGGTGGATAACTAACTATATGTCAAAAACTTTTTTGGCTTTAAGATGGCAGCCTGGAAGGATGACCGTATTGTTTAATAACCATTTTTCTTGTGTTACAAAAGCCATCCAAAGCAGTAGTCTGCCTAATCTCATTTCAATTTTGTACTTTCCATTGTAAGTGATTTCCTTCACCCTTTTAAGACTACTAAAAGGACAAGTTGGTCAGCACATAACTGTGCAGTGTAGTTGAGCTACATAGTCAGCCATGTCCACAGAGTCATGAAATTCTATGGCACTGAAGACCTAGGACTCAGCTATGCTCAGTCAATTATATCGGTATAACTGCGTTAAAAACATCCGACACCAGATAGCACCGTAGAGCACAAAACTATGCAATTTTACAATAAGGTGTTTTTTCTTTTGTTATAACAATTTTATTTATAAATTATTTATAGTTTTTTTTCCTGTGTGTAGATCCAGCCACAGACCACCCCTGTACAAATATATCTGCCAAATATATCAGAAGTGAATCTTCAGGAAAAATAGCTTAGGAATTTCTAAGAACCTAAAAATGTCAAAACTTTTAAGTAACATATGGGAAATTTCTTAGTCAGGTTTTGATCCACTATTCTCCAGCATGTGTCTTCCATGTTCAGAAGGAAAAGGGATTTACACTCTTATGCTGGCCATGCCTGGGTTTTTTTGAGCTGTGCATGAGACACTGAAAAAGATGCAAACGCTCTTCTCTAAATTTCCTTTACTCTCTAGTCAGCAGGTTCTGCAGAGTTTTGAAGGGATTCTAAAAAGCTGTAAAAACTATTTTATCTAGGACTACTGTGGGTTCTTTATAGAAAAGGGAAAAAATGTGTATAAAATACATGCACAACCATGTACAACTAGAGTAACAATAAATCCACCATGCTAACTTTAAAAGTCTGAGAAACTGGTGCATGTACACAGCTTTAATATAAGAAGTGCAAGGATCTTGTTTAAAACGGCTATGGAGATAAGGTGTTTCTTGTGCCTATGGGAAACCCAGAAGAAGGACTTAAGCACAACAGCCTTCTCCCCACTTGTGATCCTAGCAGCTGGTATGCAGAGACACTTTTGTTGGCATCCGTCTGCCTCAAGAGACCGCGGAGTGCACTTCCTGGGGTGAAATCAAACCACTGGAGAATCATCACACCTGTTGTGGATGCAGAGACTGGTGACGCCTACTTGCTGCCTCCGGCCTTGTTTTTGCTTGCAGTATGGAGGTCCTGCTTGCAGTATGGAGGTTTTGCTTGCAGTATGGAGGCAGCGCGTGTGGAGGTCCTGGGCTGCCCAGATGACAAGACCTTGCTGATGAGGTCCAAAGGGAAAGAGAGCAATAAATTTGGCAGCAGCTTGGCTGCAGGAGTTGCCAGAAGGAGGTGTACAAGACACCATCCAACTGCCTTAGGGACTCCACTCTAGATTTGTGTTAGGGTTTACTCCTTAACCTTTTCTTCTCCCAAAGACGTCCTGCAAGGTAGCAAGTACAGATTTTTCCACGGGATTTACTCCCGAAGCCTTTCGCACAAATGGGTTTAGCTACAAGCTAGCAGAGGTTTTGGATCAGAGTTTTCCTTCTTCTAGATAGACTACCCTCCCAGGTTTATGAGCCCCATCAGCCCTTACTGTTATGTACTGAAGTTCTCACACTGGGCCAAGGGGGGATACTGTAGATAGTTATGCAAATAAGGGATCGAAAGTGACGTTCAGTGATTGGATAGTTTTAGAAAGTTGTTACCATTATGTGTACTGGAGCTCTATATAAGCAGGCTGACTGAACCCTTCAGCTCAGTTCTGTTCTGGCCTCTGAATAAACAAGAGCTGTTTGAAGAATCACTGTGTCGTCTGATTGTTCACCCACAACATAACACTTACCTCCAATGTTGGAGGTAGTACACAATCACCGATAGCTTTATCATCCATGAATTTGCCTACTCATTTTAAAAGACTTTTAAAGCCATCCAGGTTGGTGCCATTACTGCATCTTGTGGTAGTTTTGACTATGCACAGTATGAAGAAGTACTTATTTTAGTCTCTCATGATTCTTCCAATACTCAGCCCATTGTGTGAGCCCATTGTGTCTTCTGAGAGAGGGAGAAAAGGTTCTCAATATCTACTTTATCCACTCTGGGCATAATAATATACATCTCTATCATGTCCCCCCCCCCCGCCTTACTTGCCTTTTTTTCTAAGTAAAAAGCCCCAAATGTCTCAGTGACATGGCAAAGTATGCTTTCCTATGCACAAATGTTGATGCTTAATTCTTGCGGTTACTGTCCTTCAGTTCAAGTATTTGTTTTGTCCTTTCTGCCTGCATCACAGCATCTGGTGAAGCACACGAGAACCAGCAGGACACTGTGTCTCTGAAAACTACTGAAATCCTGCCAGTTGCTGGTAAACAAGACCTGCAGTGTCGCCTGTAACCCAATCATTTTCTTGTGGCTTCAGGGAGATGCAATCTCTCAACCCCAGACATATTTTATCCTGCTCTATGTATTTTGACATTTATATAAACCTCTCACAATCCAGTTTGGCAAACATGTGAAATGGCTAATGGAAGATACAGACGGAACCTCTTAAAAACCTGGAGCACACTTCACTGGAGGACAATGGTTCCAAATTCACCCAAAGTAATTTCCTTTTCCTAATGTCCTCAGATAGAAGCAAGGCGCATAACTCCATGATCTTGGCACATTATTTGCGTCTCCAAATTCTCGGCACATTAAAAAGGGCAGAGCAAATCATGGAAAAATATGACAAAGTAGGACAGAAGGCATTGTGGTAATTGGGATTTTAAGTCTAGTGGAATCCCAGTTTATTTTCACATCTGGAATAGTGGGATATGTGTATTTCTGTTTGCCTCTTGCGCCAATCTTGTTTTTCAAGATGTCTATTATTTCCTAACAATCTGTTAAAAGAATAAATAAGCACGTTCTTTTCTTTAAATAGACATATCATGATGAGCTTCTTCTTCTTACATAAATCTATGCAAAACTATACAAAATAAAATGAGAACCAGGATTGTATAAGTTTGACTGAACCTATGGCTGGATCATGCAATTCACATTTCCATAGCCCAGTGCCAAAATGGATGCTTGTCCAATCAGCACAGTCTGAGTGGTGGCCTCCTGCCCTGTATCCTTCTGGTAATGTGGAATACAGTCTGTGGTTTCAGGCACGGAGGCACCACCACAACCAGGTCTGGTTCCAGACCCTCCAAGTGTCCCTGTTTTCTAGGGACAGTCCTGGATTCACAGTAGCCATTTCAGTTTCTGATTTGATCCCAGAATGTCCCTATTTTCATTGGAGAAATGTTGGATGGTATGGAGTTATGCAACCCCTTAGCCAAGGAGATAAGTAACTATGCAACCTTTAGAAGACATCTGAAGGCAGCCCTGGATAGGGAAGTTTTTTAATGTTTCATTATGTGTTTATGTATGTGTTTAAGCCAGTACAGATTTCCCTTGCTCCAATAGTCTGCATCAAGTGAGAATGGAGGGGTGCTTCACATTTTCTAAGAAGTGGTAACAGAAGAAGCATGACTGACTTCTGCTTCTTCTCCTACATGGCTGGGATGGAGGAGGAGATGTGTAGATATGTGTGGCCTCTCAACATGGGGCAAGGCAGGCATCTTTCCACATTCACATAAGAACCAGAAACAACAGGAAAGGAAGCAGTTGCTACTCATGTCGGATGTTTGAGGCCCAGGACTCTTGTCACCCTAGTGCAGGCTTCCTCAACCTCGGCCCTCCAGATGTTTTGAGACTACAATTCCCATCATCCCTGACCACTGGTCCTGCTAGCTAGGGACGATGGGAGTTGCAGGCCAAAAACATCTGGAGGGCCGATGTTGAGGAAGCTTGCCCTAGTGGCACGTAGGGTGTTTGGTTGCCTGAGGTGAAAGACGAGGTGGCACCCCTGTTGCAGATATTAATATTGCACAGTTTGAAGCAATTGGAAGCGTAAAAACTGACTCCTTTTGGAATAAATCATCGTCTAAACACATAACAATATTATTCAAACTTTTACTGGCAGAACTCTTTAAAATAAAGCAGAATACAGCAAATGAAAGGTCTCTCTCTCTCTCTCCACGGAGCTGGTGAAAGGCGTGGGCCAAGGGAGAGTCTCAAGGGCTGGATAAAGAAGATTGGCCGGTGGTTTTGGCCCCTGGATCTGAGGTTCCCTGCTTTTGCTTGCCAGCTTCCCTGGGTTATCTGGTCGGCTACTGTTGGAGAAAGTGTTGGGCTGGAAGAACTTTTGGTCTCTCTTTAAATTGGGGGTGATAAGTAATGTTTAGAAACTAAAGTATGAACATCCTGGAACAACACATCACTCCCTTGTCATCTGCAGCTTAGCTACCGCAACTATTGTGCTTGTGAAAAGGAAGCCTGCTCTGTGTGACTGAGATACGCAAGCCCTGGTGGCATCGCGAAAGCCTTCTGGGGAGATCAAACGCAGCAGATCCTTGGGTGACATAGTGCGCATTTGGCAGGATGTGTTTAAACTGCAGCTCTGTATAATTACCAGCAGCCTTAACCAAAGAAGCAGAGTGTCTCTCCCCCCCCCCCCCCCCCGCTTATGAAAGAGTTCCCAGTTAACCCTTTGGAGGCCTAACATTTGTACAATGTTATCTCTTTGGCAAGAAAGGTCCGTATAGTAAAAGCTATGGTTTTCCCAGTAGTGAGAGCTGGACCATAAAGAAGGCTGATCACCGAAGAATTGATGCTTTTGAGAGTCCCAGGGACTGCAAGAAGATCAAACCTATCCATTCTGAAGGAAATCAGCCCTGAGTGCTCACTGGAAGGACAGACCGTGAAGCTGAGGCTCCAATACTTTGGCCACCTCATGAGAAGAGAAGACTCCCTGGAAAAGACCCTGATGTTGGGAAAGATGGAGGGCACAAGGAGAAGGGGACGACAGAGGACGAGATGGTTGGATAGTGTCTTCGAAGCTACAAACATGAGTTTGACCAAACTGAGGGAGGCAGTGGAAGACAGAAGTGCCTGGCGTGCTCTGGTCCATGGGGTCATGAAGAGTTGGATACGACTAAACGACTAAACAACAACAACATCTCTTTGGCTGTTGGGTCTGCAAATTGCACACATTCCAGAAGTGAAGCATTGTTTAGTGTGCTGTGCCTGCAGGCTAACTTCTAAGGAGGCTGCAGATTTTTTTGCTCAGCCACATTCGAGAAATGGGTAGCAGTGATCTTAGTGCCTTTCACTTCAGAAACGTTTTTTTAAAATCCAAATTGCATTTACTTTAGCTTCTCACAAACCTGTTTGAGATCTCTGAGAGTGACAAGAGGCATATACCGTATTTTTCCCTCTATAACACGCAGATTTTTTCTCCTAAAAAGTAAGGGGAAATGTCTGCGCGTGTTATTGAGCGAATGTGTGGTCCCCGGAGCCCTCCGGAGAAGGGAAGCCTTGAAAAGAGGAAGCTGCTGCTTTCCTGCATTCTGCCTCAGGGTCTTACTGCCCACCCGCTTCTGTTTGTTACTGTGTTTGCTCAAACGGAACAAAGAGCAGAGAAAACCCCTCCCCTCCAGGCAAGCAGAGGGGAAAGCAGAGCGTCTTTCCTTCTAATTCCTCTCGTGCTCCGGTGCTGCAACATGCAGGTGGGGGTGGGAGAGAGAGAGAGAGAGCTGGCTGGCTTGGGTGGGTGCGTGGGGGGAACTTTTGCCTTCCTTTCCTCCCTCCGGTAAAACCCCTCTCCTGCATTCTTAGCCAGCTGCTTCTCCGCACACCCCTCTTGGTGCTCCTTGTCCCTTCTATGTTTTTCCTTCCCTCTCCACTTAAAACGTGGTTACAAAGCACGGATCCACATGGATCCTCAGGATCTTTGCATTGGGTCACCCCAAATTCACCATCAGATCACATAGCGATGATCTGATGCAAAAACAGGGCTGCAGTGGTGCAAAAACGTGGTTACAAAGCACGGATCCACATGGATCCTCAGGATCTTTGCATTGGGTCACCCCAAATTCACCATCAGATCACATAGCAATGATCTGATGCAAAAACAGGGCTGCAGTGGTGCAAAAAACGTGGTTACAAAGCACGGATCCACATGGATCCTCAGGATCTTTGCATTGGGTCACCCCAAATTCACCATCAGATCACATAGCAATGATCTGATGCAAAAACAGGGCTGCAATGGTGCAAAAACGTGGTTACAAAGCACGGATCCACATGGATCCTCAGGATCTTTGCATTGGGTCACCCCAAATTCACCATCAGATCACATAGCATGTCCATGGCTACAGCCTGCACCAAAAAAATCACGCACCCACTGTTGCCTGGGGCTGCAATGGTGCAAAAACGTGGTTACAAAGCACAGATCCACATGGATTCTCAGGATCTTTGCATTGGGCTACCCCAAACTCACCGTCAAATCACATGTCTGTGGCCACAGCATGAAGCACAAAAATGATACATCCACTGTTTCATTCAGAATTTTTTTTTCTTGTTTTCCTCCTCTAAAAACTATGTGCGTGTTATGGTCAGGTGCGTGTTATCGAGCGAAAAATACGGTAAGTAAGAGGTGGTCTAGTTGACTGTGATCTGACTGCCCTGCATTTTGAAGTCCAGGGTATAGGAAGCACATCCCAACACTGAATAAACAGCTACTATATTTGCACAATATCATTATCCATATATTTATATTTCAGGAATAATATAGCACTGCTTGCAACCATGTTGGCTGAACCATGAGGAATGAAGGGCACAAATTGGAAATCCCAACGTTCCAGTTCCTCAGTTAGCTTGTTGCTGCCAGATGCCACTTGAGTCTGGTTGGCACTGCAAATGTAAGGAGTGGTGGCAAAAATGGACATGATTAATATCTGACAACCATTAATAATTAGTTTTCCGGTTTGAGGCTGTGTACACATTAGCGGCTTGCAGTGCAGTGAGTTTGTCCACCCCACCAGTACATTTCAAGTCGCTTTCTTACACCAGAGAATGGAAGAGGATGTTTACCTGATTTGCTTCCCAGCCCTGAACTCCAATTCACTGACGCTGCCATCTGCACATGCTCAACAACTGCCTGAAATATACACACTTCAGCTGTTAAGTTGTGGGTGAACATATCAGATGACACAGCGATTCTTCAAACAGCTCTTGTTTATTCACAGGCCAGAACAGAACTGAACTGAAGGCCTCAGTCAGCCTGCTTATATAGAGCTCCACTAGAACGCAACAGTAACCATTTTCTGTAACTATCCAATCACTGAACGTCATTTTATTATCAGTACCCATATGTGAGAAGATGCGTAATGAATGAGCAAACATATGTCAAGGAGAATGTGGGGCAGAACTGAAGGATCTAGCTATGAAAGAGAGCTCCTGCCTTCAGGCCCTGCTTTGGGCTTCCCATGGGCATCTGCTAGGCCACTGGACCAGACAGGTCTTTGATTCCATCCAATAGGGCTCTTCTTATATGGTTAGATTCTCCAGACATTTCTGCCAAAGGTTTTAAAAACCTTTTCTGGGGTCCTATGCAGAGCTAACCCTGTTCACATGTTGAAGACATGGAATAATCATCTCATGCGTCAGGAGACTGTAGCTGTGCACACCCACTGCCATTTCCCCATATGCCATGGGCTGGTTGGATGCAGAGGAATGGGGGGAAGAAGGCTAAGAGCCCAGGGAGTGAAAGCTCTCCATGTGCCCCTATTTTCCAGGGACGTCCCTGATTTAGAGAAGCCATCCCGGTTTCTGATTTGATCCTGGAATGTCTCACTTTTCCTTAAGATGTCCCATTTTCATTGGAGAAAGGTTGCAGGGTATGGCGTTTCTGACCCCAGAGACATCTGAAGGCAATCCTGTAGACGGATTATTATTACTTTATGCTTATTTACTTTTATTATGTTTTTATATGTGTTGGAAGCTGCCCTGCATAGCTGGGACAACCCAATCAGATGGGCGGGGTATAAACAGTAAAATTATCATTATGGGATGTCCCTATTTTCATTTGAGAAATGTTGGAGGGTATGGGAGTGGAGGTGGGAAAACAATGAGTGGTCAGAGGGAGAAGACTGGGAAGAGGAGGTATTAGAAGCTGAAGGGGCAACAGGGCTTTGTGAGCAGGGGGAGTCTGTGGCAGAGAGAAGTCCAGAATCAGAGGCAGAAGCTGAATCAGGCAAGTGGGAGGCGGGAGGCCAAGAGAAAGAGATGAGTCAGGCTGGTGAAGAGTCATGAGTGTATTGCAACAAGCTCTGCCCCCCCCCCCCCCGTCTCCCAGAGCCAGAAGAGGCGTGAAAAGGGCAGAGGAGAGGTTGAGTTGTCAGTAAGCTCCACTGCTACAGACATGGTCCCTAACTGCCACTGAATCCGGGGGGGGGGGGGGGGGGTGGCTGGCTGGTGCTGCATATAGGCATGAGCCAAACATACACGTCCCACCTCTCCTATGTCATTCAATCATTGTTTTCCCTTTTTCCCTTTTTGAGTTTCAAACTTCTGAGCAAATTAGGAATGTGCAAGCAACTGCAGCATCCTGGTGCTGTGGTGAATCCTGGACGGATCAGCTGAACAGACCCCCCCCCCTCCCAGGCATCCTGCCCTGGGACTCCCCTTCACCCAAATGCACAAAATGGGGAGACTCTTCAGATTTCAGAAGGCATCACCAATTCAGGTCAATGCCTTTTCCCCGTCCATGTGAGAATCCAGATAGGAAGGGGCTTTGCAGGGAGTTGTTTTTGCTCCAGTGGACCCCTCCCCATCTCCCCAAATCCCCTTCCTCTCTAGGGGTCTAGTCCGGTTCATTTTAAGCCACAGAGAGAGCCAAACTTTGGGATAATATCTCTCTGCATCTCTTTCAAAGCAGGAGCCAAAGAGGAAATGCCTGCTCCACACACAGGTGGCAATGAAGAGCAAGGCAGCAATGGAGCAAGGAACTTGGCAGGAACCAAAGAGGTTTGGACACGGAGCAGACCCAAATGCTGGCATAGCTCAATCAACATTTCTGTGTTATGCAACAGTATATCTGGCAATCTTTTATATCATTGCAAATGTTAACTTAGGCTGCAGTCCTAACCTAATCATACTTCCACGGGAGCAAGTCCCATTGAACTGTTAAAGAGACACGTATAGGATGGCATGCTTAGGCAATGCCAACTTACCTGATAGGAAGCCTCATTGAACTGACCGAGACTTACTTCTGAAAAATCATGCACAGGATTTTGTTGCCTGATATCTCACTGATAGGTGGGTCTATGCAGCCACAGTGTTGAAGTCTCATTCATGCTAAAGAATGCATGGACAGAAGCTTCTTGAAAGGGTGAATTGCATGGACAAGGTAATGATTGTGTTTAGTTAATACATAGACTATCTAACCAAAATTAAATGAAGGGGGTGTTTCTTACTGAAAAATACAAGAGAAGCATTTTGGATACTGCATCAAGTCCAAGTCATGTCAGAGGGATAATGGCAGGAGACACAGAGCTAATGCCAGCAATTTTGCTCATACTACATCATTGCGGTGCTTTTGGCTTTCCAGGCTAGCTGTTTTTATTTCTGTGAAAGCTGAGGTCTCCCTAGAACTGCCGCATGAATGCACTGGCCCTTGATCTTTTGCACAGCACATATGCCAAGTTTGTTTAGTTAAGAAGACAAAAGAACATCAGTAAGACCATTAGCATATTTATGAAATGGGCTTAGCTCTCAGCATGTCTGCTATGAACAGAGAGAAAAAGCTTTCCAGGTTTGCCTGGTGGTTTGGCAACAGGGTATTGCCCACGCATCTGGAAAGACCAAGCCTAGCCTCTGCTACTGAAGCAAATGCTGCACTTTAGAGATGCTGCACTCTTTCCATTCAGAACAACATCTTACAGAGCAATCCCAAGCCCAGCTGGTCAGGAGGGCTGACCCCATATCTGCTCACATCAGTCGGGTCAAAAGTTGCCGGGGGGCGGGGAGCAGGGGACAGGCAAAACCAGCCTGATCCCCTCAAATAATGACCGCAACTCTCCTGAAGAGAACCACAACTAAATGGACAAAGAGGTCTTCAATCAGAATCAATTGCATGAGGAAGTCTATAAAAGAACAGCAGATTATGGACAAATCCAGTTTCAAAAGCCCAGCAGCACACTTATCTTAAAAAGAAAAAAAAACACAGCCCACTGTTCACACAAATAAGGGTCTGCTTGTTTTTTAAGGATTGGGCATTCATTGCTATATAGTCTTTACAAATAATAAGCAGCCACTGTGTAGCTGTAGTTCTTGACAGGAGATGTGAAAGTGGAACTAGTATAAAAAACACAGGAAGTTGCTAGAGAAAACATAAAGGTCCTCACATTTCCACACTCTCCCTCCCTGGTTGGGTCAGAATATCTCCTGACTTTTCAATCAGCATAAGCAGCTGTTTGACGACATGACATGACTGACAGTGCTAAAAACCAATGGAGCAATCCTGTATTTTTAATTGATTGCTTCGTGCCCTGGCGTGTCTTCCTTGAGACCCTTAAAGAATGCTGCAGGGGCCAACTGGCCTTAATCTCTCTTGTGATCTCTCTGCCTCCAGGGCTGGGAGAAAGTGTGTGCTAAAATTAGCTGTGTGTTTTCATTAGCTTTGGGAAGGTTTGTCCACATGTCTTTGGGCATACCATAAACCCCGACCCGTGTAACTGCTGCAGCCTCTTGAAAAGTGCTGAGAAATAGCAGCCACTTTAATTACTACAACTTCCCACTGTGGAATCTTTTATATATTTTGCAGAACTATAATTCCCAAGGCTCCCCAGGAGAAAGCCATAGGAGTTGAAGAATATTAAAGGAGTTAAACTGGCTGAAGTTTCTATGTTTTTTTAACAATTTGTTTTTATTGCTTTACTTCTTACAGGATAAAGAACATTTATACATCAAAAGAAACTTGCCACCCCATAGCTATGATACAGCACAGATTAAAGCCATGTAATACAGCAGATTCTCTAATACAATAAAATAAAAACAGCACAACATCTGGAATCAAACCAATCAAAAGATTTTATATTCTATAGAAAGATTGCTTGAAGTTTCTACCATAGAGATAAATGCTATTTGTTTTGTCTGGCTTCCAGGCTGCAGAGTGTGTGTGTGTGTGTGTGTGTGTGTAAGGAAAAAACTACAATACCCAGAAAAGTGGGGGAAATGTGCTTCAAATGTGCTTTAAAGCATATTGTGTACACAGCCTGTGATTAAGAGCCAATTGGCCCATGCCGCAAAATCACATGCTACCACTTCAGCCTGCCAAAAAGGAGCCTCATGTTTGTGTGCCCTCGAGGGTGCGGAGTCCGCAGGGACCTACAGTGGTACCTCTGGATGTGAACAGGATCCATTCTGGAGCCCCATTCGCATCCTGAGCAGAACGCAACCCACGTCTGCTCATGCGCAGGTTGTGATTCGCCGCTTCTGGGCATGCGTGTGACGTCATTTTGAGCATCTGCACATGCACAAGTGGCGAAACCCAGAAGTAACCCATTCTATTACTTCCGGGTCGCCGCGGAACACAACCTGAAAACGCTCAACCTGAAGTGTCTTTAACCCGAGGTATGACTGTACTAGTATGGAGTAACTGCCTCTCAGTCTAACCTGCCTCACAGAGGATAAAATAGGGGAAAGAATCTCCTTGAAAGAAAAGTGGGACATGAATGTAATAATAGCATATCCATCAACTGTCCTGATTTGAGCAGGACATACTGGAATTACAGAGGCCATCCTGGTTTCTGACTGGATCCCAGGATGTCCCATTTTGGCTCCCATGACAGCATGGCCCTGAAAGATGGGCATCCCAGTTTTCCTCTGCAGCATGTTGGAGGGTATGGAGACTAGCCCGGGTAGCCAGTTGCTATGTCCAGGACAGAAATATTAGCAGCAATCAAATACAGGGCTCCCCGGCACTGCAGCCAAATGAAACTGTCCAGAAAAAACAAAAACCCTGCAACATGTTATTTTGATGCATGCTTTGATTGACTCTTATGGACTCTTAGATCCCCTTTTACCCTGTCAGCTGCATACGAGATGATGGATTAATTTTGCCCTCTAACTTGATTGCTCAAAAAGAGTACAACTGCTAACACTTAAGGTGTTTACTAGGCAGTGACGGATGACTACCATCTATGCCTCAGGAGAATAACAGTGTCCCTAAAATATCTAGCCAACAAGCTCCCAACCAGCAAACTCATTCCAAAAAGAGGTTTTTGTTATATTGACTTGTTTTAAAATACTTGCCACCTACCCTTCATTGTTACAGGCAATCTCAGAACAAACTACCAAACTTAAAATGAAACAGGTTCTAATTTCCGCCAAGCTCATTGCAAAACACACAAAAAAGGAAAGTGCTCATTTGTGATGATTCCTTCCAGAGGCATAAATTTGTGGAACCACAGAAGCAGCTTTTTCCTTAGCCTTTTCCATCGTGTGATGATGCTGTTAGGAAGAGGATAGTCTTGTGGTGTTTGCGCTTGCTGCTGCTGCTTTCTTTTCACAGGCAACATGAATATCCATACGTAAGGAAATGCTTACTATAAGGGAAACTCAAATGTTTAACAAAACCTTTGTTTAACAAAACATTTGCTGCTATACTCCATGGAAGGAGTCTTGCTTTTTAAAAAAATCATGTTTTTAAAATTAAAGAATATACACATACCTCCTCCCCCGCCCCTTGCAGTCTGACAAGGGACAGCCCAGAAGTCAGCTATAGCTTCCTACATAGCAATGAGCCCTGGGAGCTGTAGTCCAAACCATCTGGAGGAAGTCAGGTGACTATATTCCAATACTGAACTGGGCTTTCTGAGTGTCATGGCTTATGTATCAAAAACAGCAGCACCATGCGCAAGAAGGAGGTATCAGCCAGCTTGAGGGAAACCCCAAAGTTTGCAGTACTGCAAAAAGATGTTTAGGTTTCTCACCCTAAGGGGGAAAAGGGTACCAAAAGCATCCACCATGAGGACTGATCATGCTCAGATGCTGACTATAGGTTGCAGAAAACAAGGGGCAGATGGAATGGACTATCCAGGAAGAAGGTTTGGCTGGCTGAGCGGCTGAAACATAAAAAGAAACACTCCACACTGCAGCATTTTGTTGCAGGTCCCGTGTGAGTGTGTGTGTTACAATTGTAAGTAATTCTTACAATAGCCTTGCAAAGTACAGTTATTCCTAATACTGCAGATGGAATGCTTTGGCTGAAAAAATTATTGCCTCTCTGATGAAGTTGCTTTGTGGATGACAGGCGTTTTGGGCTGGGAACCACACATTGGAAGCCCATTCCTCCTCTGCTGAAAAGGGAATCCTTGGGGTTTACCCCCCACAGAGCTACAGTTCCCAGCACCCTTAAATTACTGTTCTCAGTGTGCTACCAACCCTACCCTGGAATCTGCCCCTGGGAAATATGATGTAGGTACTTCTTATGGTAAGTCATACACTGAATCCACTTTTTAAATGTCTGCGCAAAAATATTCTTGAGTGCAGGACATAACACGTTTAGAAATGAGCACTAAAATCTATCCAATGTTTTCATTATTCAAGGAAAATATTTGCAAAAGGAAGAAAGGAGCATGGCCAATGTGCTTTAGGAACTACAAATATGTGCCTCAAAGCCACTATTTAAATATCAATTCAAACAGCCGTTTCCCTGCTCTGTAATCTGCTCACAGCTGCAAGAGGTCAGGGAGCAAAACAGCTGTGATTCAGCTTGTAACACATTTGTTACTCAGTTTCCAAGGTTGCCATTGGGAGTTTTGACATGTGTCCTTCCATTAGGAGAGTTAGTGTGCCTGATTCATTTCTAGTACAGAGCCATAGCACCTTATGGTACGATTCCCCCAGGAGAGCTTTGGAGGACAGCAGATGACAAATAATGAGCAGACCTGGATTTATTAATTCTGGATTCATTATAAATTGGGAAGGCGAACGATGTTCTCTTCTTCCTCTCCACACACCTTGTCTAAATGTTTAGACTGCAAGAAACCTGACATGTCTTTTTTGCTGCTGTACTACATAAAGTGCCTACATAAATAAGCAGACCACAACAGTTCTTTCACTGAGTTCCAAGCGTTTCTCCCTATTTCTCCGAACCCTTGGTTTCCCTGATTTAGGGGGAGAGGGGAGTATATTGAAATCAGATGGCATAAACATTCCCACAACTGGTATCTGTTCCAAAAACATGCTGATGAAAAAATACGTCAGATGCCTGCAACCCTCAAGGTTGCAGCATGCGGTAGCAGCCACAATAAGGGGGAGATGATAAAAGGGAAGACGGACCCTTTGCCATTCACTGTGGCCCTATTTGCACAACACATGTTAAAGCAGAATTAGTCTCCATTTTCTTTTCTCATCATTGTTGTTTTTTTTTACAGTGTGTTTTTACTGTTTAAAAGGAAGGCTTGACAATGAGGCAATGTATATTGAAATCTCACAAACCAGAGAAGTGGCTACATACACTTTCTTGCTGCTGAGCACGGGTCTACATAACTCCTTGCCCCTTACAGCCATGACAAGCAAAAACAGAAACTTCATAAATTGTGTTTTTATTTTGTATTTTTATCTTGTGAACCACCCTGAGATTTACAGATGAAGGGCACTATACAAAGTTAATAAATACAACAACAACAACAACAACAAATGTAACAAACAAAATAAATGATGCAGAATTAGTGATCAAAGTAAGGCAGCCTTGAATGAAATCCAAAAGCTCCACCTCTTCCCAAGTCATGTCCCCCCACGCCTTCTGAAAGTAGGAGCTAAGGCCGCTGTAACAATAGTAGATGTAGTGGTTAGACTGAGGCGCTACCCAGAGGCGGAGCTAGCTGCTCTGGAACCTGGAGCAGCACACATGCTGTGCACCCGGGGGCGGGGCGAGCGTCCTGGGGGGCAGGGGGATGTCAACCCCCCCCCCCAGGGATGACAGCCTGGGCGGGCCACACCTACCGCATCCCCCTTCCTCCGCCAGTGGCGCCACCTGCACTCTACGTTTCAACCAGTATCATACCATGTGGCTTCCCCCAAAGACTCCTGGGAACTGCAGTTGGTTAAGGCTGCTGAGGGTTGTTAGGAGAAGACCCCATTCCCCTCACAGAGCTACAATTCTCAATTCCTTTTCCCAGGTAAATTGTAGCTCTGTGAGGGGAGGGGTGTCTCAGCACCTATAACAAACTACACTTCCCATGATGCTTTGGGGAAAGCCATGATTGTTTGAAGTGGTATGACACTGCCCAAAATGCATGGTGTACGTGGGGCCAGTGTTCAAGCTCCCTGTCATAAGATAGTGTGGAATTTGACTAATAAGATGTTCCTCTCAAACACAGGACTAAAAGCAAAGCCAGCTCAACTGATCCTAGTCACCTCCTGGGAGAACACAACACCCAAAGTGCCTTACCCTGCTGTCCTCTTGCATCTCCCAGTCACTAGAGAAGGCCATGGAATGCTGTCCTTGAGTGCAGTTGGAAAACTGGAAAAGGCTCGAAAACATCCGTCTGTTTTCTTGGGTATCTGGAAATATTGCATCCTGGAAATTTACTCCATGTGGAAGGAGGTTATAATTCTCATCCATTCTGAAAAAGAAAACCAGGGATAAACATTAAGTAACTTGCAGCACAAGTCATATATCTCTATATAATGTAATGAGATTGACTTTCAGCAAGGCACACACTGCCCTGGTTGACACATCATGATAAGCCATTATGACTGAAACCATGGTTTATTGCGAATGTGTATCTCCCGCCCCTGTCCTGTGCAGGGTCTGGACAGCTCAAATGTCCATGGTCTGCTGTGTCACCCAACCCAAATTGTGTTCTTCCTGATTTATTTCTGTTTTGCACCCGGTGGTTTGCTTGGAACTAACACAACATGGTCCAGGTTCAGGTGAGAAGTGGGAGAACCCACACAACTATGGTTCAGCAGGACATGCCCCCCCCCTTTTTCTATCTTGCACTTAAATACCATTTCTGTACCAGGTAAAGTAATTTTAGCCCCCCTGATCCCCCGACCTGTCCCATATTTTGCCTGACTTGTCCTTTATTTTGCCCGACCAAAGGTGGCAACCCTAGTTCATATGGAATGGGGAGAGGCAGTCCTTGAGCTATTGTGGTCCTCAGCTGTTTAAGGCTTTATAGGTAATTAAAGATGGCATCAGGTTGGTTTCCCTTAGCTGCAATAGTACTTCCTAGACTGGCATCGGTAGTCACATGGGAAGGACGGTGCTAATAGAGGGGTGTTTGCTCACAATTCCTATGTTTAGCAAGGCAATGAAGGGCTGGTCCATTGGGGGGGGCACAAGGAAAGCAGCTTGCATATTGCCCATTTTGCTCCATTGACACATTCTGAGAAACCCGCTGAAAGGTTCTGTGCCATTTGAACTCTTTCCCAACAGGTGAGAATATTAATGCTAGTTGTGTTTCCATTTCCTAGATGGGCCTGGCATTGGTAGATCAGAGTGAGTGATATGAAGAATAATCACATGGGGAGAGAGAGGCCTATGAGCCCATTGGGAAGAGAAAAAGGGGCCTGACCCATATTTGTGGCTTTAACAACAGCTTGGAATGCTTATTTTCAGTGTTGGGAAATAAGCAGTGTCACCTGTTAATATCTGCACATAAAAACTACTCCCATCTTTGTCTCAACATTTATTCTCTCTTGCCATTTTATTTCTGTTTTCAGCCCTTGAAAATGGCAAATAACATAGCGGATCCCACCTCTCTGGCTACCAATTGTAGAATCATAGAATCATAGAATCATAGAGTTGGAAGAGACCACAAGGGCCATCGAGTCCAACCCCCTGCCAAGCAGGAAACACCATCAGAGCACTCCTGACATATGGTTGTCAAGCCTCTGCTTAAAGACCTCCAAAGAAGGAGACTCCACCACACTCCTTGGCAGCAAATTCCACTGTCGAACAGCTCTTACTGTCAGGAAGTTCTTCCTAATGTTTAGGTGGAATCTTCTTTCTTGTAGTTTGGATCCATTGCTCCGTGTCCGCTTCTCTGGAGCAGCAGAAAACAACCTTTCTCCCTCCTCTATGTGACATCCTTTTATATATTTGAACATGGCTATCATATCACCCCTTAACCTCCTCTTCTCCAGGCTAAACATGCCCAGCTCTCTTAGCCGTTCCTCATAAGGCATCGTTTCCAGGCCTTGGACCATTTTGGTTGCCCTCCTCTGGACACGTTCCAGTTTGTCAGTGTCCTTCTTGAACTGTGGTGCCCAGAACTGGACACAGTACTCCAGGTGAGGTCTGACCAGAGCAGAATACAGTGGCACTATTACTTCCCTTGATCTAGATGCTATAGTCCTATTGATGCAGCCCAGAATTGCATTGGCTTTTTTAGCTGCCGCGTCACATGTTGACATGTTGGCTCATGTCAAGTTTGTGGTCAACCAAGACTCCTAGATCCTTTTCACATGTACTGCTCTCAAGCCAGGTGTCCCCCATCTTGTATTTGTGCCTCTCATTTTTTTTGCCCAAGTGCAATACTTTACATTTCTCCCTGTTAAAATTCATCTTGTTTGTTTTGGCCCAGTTCTCTAATCTGTCAAGGTCGTTTTGAAGTGTGATCCTGTCCTCTGGGGTGTTAGCCACCCCTCCCAATTTGGTGTCATCTGCAAATTTGATCAGGATGCCCTTGAGTCCATCATCCAAGTCGTTGATAAAGATGTTGAATAAGACCGGGCCCAAGACAGAACCCTGTGGCACCCCACTAGTCACTCTTCTCCAGGATGAAGAGGAACCATTGATGAGCACCCTTTGGGTTCGGTCAGTCAGCCAGTTCCAAATCCACTGAGTGGTAGCATAGTCAAGACCACATTTTACCAGCTTATTTACAAGAATATCATGAGGCACCTTGTCAAATGCCTTGCTGAAATCAAGGTAGGCTACATCCACTGCGTTCCCTTCATCTACCAGGCTTGTAATTCTGTCAAAAACGAGATCAGGTTAGTCTGACATGACTTATTTTTCAGAAATCCATGCTGACTATTGGTGATCACAGCATTCCTTTCTAGGTGCTCACAGACTGTTTGCTTAATGATCTGCTCCAGAATCTTCCCTGGTATTGATGTCAGACTGACTGGGCGGTAATTATTTGGGTCCTCTCTTTTCCCCTTTTGAAAATAGGGACAACATTTGCCCTCCTCCAGTCTGCCGGGACTTCGCCTGTTCTCCAGGAATTCTCAAAGATGACTGCCAGTGGTTCTGAGATCACATCTGCCAGTTCTTTTAATACTCTTGGATGCAGTTCATCTGGCCCTGGAGACTTGAATACATCTAAAGGTGTATTTATGTGTATACATCTAAAGGTGGCGGATCCCACCTTCATATATTCTAATTATAGCCACTTTGGGTTATCTGATGGTTTTTGTGTGAAGGTAAAACTAGATACTTGAAGATTCAAAGAAGTTGGACAAATTAGAAAGATTTATTTTAGAGAACAAAGTTGGTAAAACAAAGTATGTGTCAAGAGATAATGTGTTTTCAGGAAACAGTTAACAGTTATTATAATTACCGTGGCTCCATGGTGTAACAGTTAGCACTCTGGACTCTGAATCCAGAGATGCAAGTTCAAATCTCAGTGGAACGTAACTTTTCATCAACTGTGTGGATAGCTCAGTTGGTTACAGTGTAGTGCTATTGCGGATTTGATTCCATATGGGACACTTGCATATTCCTGCCTTGCAGGGGGTTCCAACTCTACAGTTCTATGATTCTATACTAAACTCTAGCGGGTGTTTCAGGCTTCTAAACAAGGTAGTAAATACTCTGCTTCTTTTCAACTTCAGCTGCTTATTTTCAGTTAATACTCTTCAGTTCGATGTTACAGGTTTCCAGCCTAGATGGTCGATGCTCAGCTTCTCTCCCGTTATTTCACTTCAGTTCCTTCCCTTAGTGGTTGTGTAGGTGTTTCAGCTTAACACTTTGGCTCCTAAAGAAGGAGGGACTTTCCATCAGTTTCCCAACCTTTCCTCACTCCCACTCCTGAGGTACTTCCATCCCAGGGGATCCAGGGGATCCCCACACCCCTCTTAACTGGTCTGGGAGCTTCTCTGTCTAGAGGATCCCTCCCCTCCTGACTGACAGGAGACCCAAGGAGACTTTATCCTCACAGACTCTACTTCTCCTTGTTCAAACTCAGCCTGCCTGTTACTCCTGTCTGAATACTCTCCCAAGATACTACACTCGGTCTTCGTATCTAAGCTCAGAGACTCCTTTCTCTAGCTGTGGGTATTCTGCTCCTCAGAGTGGATGTTACACACACAGACCAGAACCAACTCTCCAATTCTCCCTCCAGTTCTTTCCCTCGGGGGCATTAGACTCCTTGAAGGTTGTGTTTACTTCACAACCCATCCATCGGCAACCGGACTCGGCACGGCTGTTTGTGGTGGAAACAGATGACTCGGATGTTGCAGTAGGGGCCAACCCACTGCAGGCCAACCCACAGTCTTTGGTGCTCTTTCCCTGTGGGTACTACTCCTGAAAATGTCAACCAGCAGAGCGGAATTATGGCATTTGGGACAAGGAAGTACTGGCTATTCAAGTGGCATTTGAGTCGTGGCATCATTTGTTGGAGCGGGCCGGTTATCCAGTTTGGATGGACAATCGGAACCTAGGACAACTCCTGTCAGCCAAGAAGCTGAATCAGCACCAGATCTAATGGTCCCAGTTCTTCTCCCACGTTGATTTCAAGGTTACCTATATTCCCAGCAGCCTGAACCAGCGGGCTGATGCCCTTTCTTGGAAGCCAGAGTATGAGAGGTCTGACGATGCGTCATGTACACCCATGATATTGCCTCCTGCCAATTTTGCTACGGCCCAGATTCCTAGGGACTTTTTGTGGGAGCTGCGGGAGCAGCAACAGTGGGACGCCTATGTGCAGCACTGGTGGCAAGAATTGGCTGACCAGGCTAGACACTCTCCTCACCACTGGATGGTGCACCAGGACTTGCTGCAGTTTGGGGGCCATTATTATGTGCTTCCTGGTCCACAGCGGGGAACTGTTCTGCAGTTATGCCATGACAGTCTACCAGCAAGGCATTTCAGACACTTCAAAACTCTTCATTTGGTGGCCAGGGACTTTTGGTGGCCTTGTCTTTGGGACAAGGTGGAGCAATATGTGGCTTCCTGCCAGTCTGTCATTGGGCTAAAGATGTCCCTGGCAAGCCGGCAGGACACCTTCTACCTCTACCAATGCCTGAATGGCCCTGGCAGACCGTGTCACTGGACTTTATCATGGACCTGCCTTCATCCCAAGGGGTGACTACCATTTTGGTAGTGGTGGATACCTTGACCAAGATAGCACATTTTCTCCCTTCCACTGGCCTCCCCTCAGCCCAAACAAGTGCAGACCTCTTCTTGAGAGAAGTGTTCTGCCTGCATGGTGGCCTGCTGCAGCATGTGGTATCTGATAGGGGACCGCAATTTACTGCTCACTTTTGGCAGGCCCTTTGACGGGTTTGAGGGTGCAGCTCCATCTCTCCTCTGCCTACCACCCACAATCGGATGGGCAAACAGAACGTGCGAATAGGATCCTGGAACAGTACCTGTGGTGCTTTGTCAGTTTCCATCAGAACAACTGACTCACTCCTGGCAGCTGCTGAATTCTCTTATAACAGTGCTCGCCACACTTTGACATGCCTCTCCCCATTCTTTGCCAACTACGGGTTCCCCTGCTTCTTTTCCCTGCTGTCATCTCCTTCCATGCTTCCGGCAGCAGAACAGCTTTTGCAGGAGCTGCGGACCATCCATTGGGTTCTCCGCAAGCAGCTCCAATGGGCAAAGGAGGATTACAAGCATTTTGCTGACTGACATCAGCAAGCCGGGGGGCCCCTGGCAGTGGGGGACTTGGTCTGGCTCTCCACCCGGCATCTGCCGGTCCAGAACCCTTCATGGAAACTGGGACCCCAATTCCTCAGTCTCTTTCCTGCAGGCCAAGATCAACCCAGAGGCCGGCCGGGTCAAGCTCCTGGCTTCCTACAAGGTACACCCGGTCTTTCACCATGCCTTGCTCATCCCTGAGGTCCCTGCCAGTATGCCACCAGTCTTTGTGGAAGGGGAGCCAGAATTTGAAGTGGCACAAATTGTGGACTCCTGTCAATGCCAACGTCTCTTGCAGTATTTGGTGGACTGGAAGGGCTACGGCCCTGAGGAACACTCATGGGAAGATGCTTCGTATGTCCATGCTCCCCGGTTGGCCTGACAGTTCCACCGTTGGTTCCCCCATAAGCTGACACGCAGCCGGCGGGTCGGGGGCACCTTGCGGAGGAGGACAGTGTCATGGGCCAGGAGTCAGCTTCAGCTGCTGAGCAGCAGCCTGAAGGAGCAGAAGGCAAAGTAACTCCACCTGCTGCTGACCAGCTGCAGCCTTCTTGCTCCTGATGAGAACCAGCTGGCTTCAGCTTTCTTAAGCAGGGTTTCTAGCCTTGGTCAATTGTGGAAACAACTTTCGTCCTTCCTGGCCAGACCTTGCTGCTTCTTGCTTCCCGTAACCTTGGACCCTCGGCTTTCTTGACCCCTGGATCGTCTGACGACATGAACTGAGATGCTCCTGACCTTTGGACTGGACTGGACCTTGCATATGGACTCTGCCACCAGGCAAGTACCTCCCTGAGACTACAACACCCACAAACAGAGTGAATGCTTATTCATTAGCCAACATGAATCTCTCCGCAAAGAAATCTGTCGTGTATTATCTAGTTAAGATTCCTGCATCGCAGTAGTTGGACTAGATGACCCTCGGAGGTCCCTTCTAAGTCTACAATTCTATGATTATATGAAATAAGGATGATGGTCCAATAAACAGGCAGTCTGGGATCAGCCAGTGGAGGCTTACTGTTTTCAGATGCACAGTTGCAAAACTCTGTCATGGAACTTCTCAAACTACAATTAAAGAACACATTCATCACCTTCGATAATCTTTAAAATGAAATGCCGCTGTTGAGTCACCAGGCTTCACAAACACTTAAACACAGAATTCCATGTGTAAGCAAGAGAGCCACATACAAAGCTGGTTTACATGGATAACCATCCAGTTTCTGTCTCTTCCTTTCACTGCGGTCTATAAGAATATCAGGAATTGTGTTTTTGTCCACTGATCAGTTGGCTAACTGCAAAACGGGGCTCTTGCAACAGTTGCATAGGAGAGAGGCTTGGACTGATGAAGCTCAGCAGGTGAAAAAAGAAAAGAAAACCAACCAGCACCTGCTTAAATCCATCCTTTTACACAACCATCAAAGAGACGGGAGTCCTGTCTTCCTTTGCAGCTGATCACCACAGTAGGAATTGTTTGGCAGGAAGTTGCTATTCACGTCTCTTGCTGAAGGACAAGCCCAGCCATGGGGTCCTACATTCCTTTCCAAACCAATAAAAAACCTGCATGCGTTGACCAATTATGACATAACATCTGCCACGTGCTGGCAGTCACAGAACCATTTCCCAGAGTCATCTTATGTATTGAAATACTGAATCTCAACTGGCCCATTAATAAACACAGGATAAGGAAATTAAAATTAGCAAGGTTTGCCACCTTGGGCTCCTTTGGGAGGAAGGGTGGGCTATAATAAATTTAATGAATACATAATAAATACACAATAATCTGAATTTTAACCAGAACTGGATCTAAGTATACAATCTTCCTAGGAGAACAAGAAGTATACTAAGCTTAAGTTTGAAGTGAAATATATGATGAATAAAACAACTTTTTGAGAGAGACTGACCATTTTTAAATGTTTCCCAGACACAAAAAACTACAACTGTACTAAACAAACTTTAATAAGTTATATTTATTAAATACTCTCTCACCCAATGATAACACTGAAATGAATTTATAACAGGAGAAGTCTTGTGTCCCAAGCTTTAAGCTCTGGAAATCCTTATTGTAATGGTGTGGAACTACGATGGTGGCGTCGAATTCAGCACAGTTAGCAAAGAGACAGGAGCCGTTTCCTTTGCAGCTGATCACCTCATTTGAAACAGTTTCATAAAACAATTATTGTTATTCCCTGGTGACAGAAAAACACTCGGCACATGTTCAAAGGCACACTGCACCTGCTCAAAGACACCCATTTACTCACACTAAGTCTAAGGCAAGCTGAAGTGGCTTGCCTAGACTGGTCCTGACAGCCAAATCTTCCTAATCTTCTGACCTATTTTTTTATTCTTTCTATAGGCAAGTTAGGTAAGGAGAGCAAAATGGTGAATTCTTGTGGATCTCATTTATATCCTATAACTTTTGCAGTATAAATCTTTAATCCCATTTTATCCTCCCAAAAAGCCAGGGAGTTAGGTAAGGCTGAGAGCAAGCAAGTGCCAGGCAAGCGTTGTGGGTCAAGCAGTGGGCACACCCAGGGTTCCTCTTGCCCCCCTCTCCCGGGAAGCCCACCCGGGTAAACGTGAGCCAGACGCAATATCTCAGCCTGGCCTATCTCACAGGGTTGCTGTGGCCATTTAAGAAGAGGGGATGATGCCACCTTGATCTCTTTGGAGGAACATCCATAAATAAACAAAAGGGTGGCTGGACATGGAGAGCCATGGAGAGATCTGCTCCGAATCTCACACGGCATGAGATGCAGACTAAAGTGGTAACAGCAGAGTCTGTCACACAAGAAGACAGTTGTGCATATCCTATTTTTGAATGCTCCATTATGTTGGAAAAAAAACCAACCACCACTACCTGTAATAAAACTTGAACCTCGAGGAGAAAGACAGAGCTCTCCCTGATATGTTGCTTTATTACACACAAAGAGCTGTTTACACATAGAAATGTTTAAAAATTGCAACTTCCCAACACACACACACCTGCAGCTTGAAGTGGCCCAGTCCATCATTCTATCACCTTGCCCTGCGCAATATCTTCATAGTTCTAACTCAGCATGCATCTGTCCTCCCCCGCCCCCATCAAGCCACTCTCTCAGCCTCCCATCTCCAACGCTGAGATGATATTGACCGGCCTTACCTGAAATAAGGTATGTGAAGTGTTTTTAACATTCTAGAGCACTACCAAAATGCCCAGCATTAGTAATATTAAATCCATGTGTCATTTAGCAACACTAGGCAATGTTATCTTTTTAACATTATTATTACTATTAATTAGTATTAGGTATTGGTGAGTTTTCTAGAGGTACTCACCTGAGGAAGAAGAAGTAGGAGTAATCCTGCATGACTGTGTGAGAGTGGCAGGAGAAATACCCCAGTCCCGTCAGGTTGAGCCGGGATCCCGCAGGGACTTCCAGCATGCTTCCCCAGGCCTGATCACAAAGCATCTCAATCTCGGCTGAGTAAAAGAGCCCCCCTTCTGGGGCTTCATATTGCCAGGGCAAATAGTTGAACATGCTGTACATATCCTGATGCAGTGCCAAGACTTTGGCATAGACGATGATTTCTGCCAGCTCAGCCCTGCAGCTTTCACTCAGGGGTCTCCACTCTGACGGCAGCTGACAGCCCAGGCTGGGACTGAGCTGATTCCCAAAGCACAGGAGCAGGAGCAGCCGGATTTGCAGCATGATGGATTCGAGAGGAGGAGGATGCAGGCTTCGCACACTGGATGCTAAAAGTTTCCCCAGTGCCTTTAAAAAAAAACACAGCACACTCACAAAACCTGAGGCTAGGTTTGTGAAACAAGATCCCTATGAAATGAATCAACTGATTGGCAAGAAGCTGGGGCCTAAGGCTCATCAGTGGCTCAGATTTTGCCCAATAGGAGCAGTTCTTCAAAGGGAGGGAGGAGCAGTAACCAGAGAAAGGAGAGTTCTGCTGTGTACACACTCTCACTTGAGCTGCAAACTGTTGCAGTAGCTGCAGCAGAGCCAGAGGTGCAGGGCGTCTGTAAACTCCCAGAGCCATGGGCTGGGAAAGAATTCTGCCCTGCTTGTGCAGCTGAAAAGAAAGGGAAGTTTCAAACAGCAGAAGAGCTTCTTAAGCTGCTTGTTGGGTGCTGTATTTCTTCATCACCATCCCATTTATATATTCATCACCATCTTGTAGCACTTAAGCTCTAAGCACCTTACAACCGTGAAAAGAAGTCAGAGTGAAGGGGATGGATGAAAAGCAGAAAGAGGCCAGAGAAAGCCTTTGCACAAAGATGCTGTTTCAGACACTGCTTTAAAAACAGAAGAGGCAGGGTGGTGATGCACAGTTAGGAGCCAGCAAGGGAGATGGAATTAAATTGATGCCCAACCATGTCACAAATTTCATGAGCAAAACGTTGCCGGAATTGGGGATGGGTGGAGTCCAAGATTTGATGGTTCAATGATTCCCTTCAGATGTTTTTTTGAATTACGACAGCTGTCAGTCCTAACCCTGGCCATGCTGGCTAGCTGGAACTGACAGTGGGCTGCAACTATTTAAAAATACAATATTAAAAACAGTTACAACAGGTTACAATCAAGAGAATAAGGTAGGTCCTAAAATATACATTTCAGATGCCAAAGGTCCAGCAGCATCTGGCAACGTGGTGGGCTCATTCTTACATGTATTGCAGGGGTATGTAATAAAAAAATGATCTCTCTCCTCCCCCCGCAAAAAAGCAAAGCTTTGTTGCTGAAACAAGTGCAAAATCAGCATTTTTCTTTCACAAGTGTGTGAATGCAGAGATGTCCCAGAAGGGCAACCATATTATTCTCAAGCAAAGCAAAACCTAAAAGTATTGTGGAATGAAGTTTTGTTCAAAAGATTATAAAATGGAATCTTCATCCTCAAAATACATTTGTTTCTCCTTAAGATGGCCCCAGAACTCTTTGATATCTACAGAGCTATCTCTGAAGCACATACTCCCTATAGAGCACACCATACTGTTTCCTCCCCTGACCCCCCCCCCATGTTAGCCATCTTCACACCAGGGGTCCTGGGATAAGCTCACTGAAGGGCTTTGAGAAGAGCCCTGCTGCATTAGACCAAAGGTCATTTGGCCCAGCATCCTGTTCCCATTTGGCTGCCCTCCCCTAAGGCATGTGCAGAAGGCAATTGGATTGGCAGTTGATTCTTGCTCCATTACGGTTGAAAGGAAAGTTATCTTCCACTCTGTTTCTATCAGCAGCCAGCAAGATGCCTCTGTGCACTAGCCAGCAACACAGGGATGCGACTGCCTCCTCTGGTTTGTCCCTTGCATCTGGCATTCAAAAGTAAGTTGTGTTCAGGCGTGGAGGTTCCATGTGCACATCCTAGGCATCCACTTTCCTCCCTTAGTCAAGGCCCTGAAATGTAAAAAGCTCTCCAGGTTCTGAACTGGATTCTGCACATAAGAAGAGCCTATTGGAACAGACTAATGGCCCCGCTAGTCCAGCATCCCATTCTCACAGTGGCCAGTCTAATAACAACAATAACAACAATAACAATAATTTATACCCCACCCATCCGGCTGGGTTTCCCCAGCCACTCTTGTGGGAAGCCCAGAAGCAGGAGCTGAGCACCACAGCACTCCCCCCCCCCTTGTGGTTCCCAGAAAGTGCCCTTCAGAGGCGCAGTGACTCCAACAGCAGAGGCAGAGCAGAAACATCCTGGCCAGAAGCCACGGAAAGCCTTATCCTGAATGAACTGGTCTGATCCTCTTTTGAAGTCCTGCTTGCTGATGGCCAAGGTTACTTCCTGTGGGAGTGAATTCTGTGGTTTGTGCACTTTGCAAAGTGAGGAGAAGAACTGCTGTCTGCCCTTAATCCACCAGCATTCAGCCTCATTGGATTCTTTTCACTGTCTCCTAACTCTGGACAACAAGGTATCAGTAATATAAAGTGGTGGTTTTAAAAACCCAGCTGAAAAGCTCACATTTTTCAAATCCTGTGTTTGCTGTTTCTTCACAGGGGACCTGAAGGTTGATCTGAAACATTCTTCTGAGTAGTTTGCATAAAATCCTTCCCCCACATCTGAACTCAGCATGGATCTGACAAAGCAGCTGAAGCCAAAACTATCTAATCAGAATAAACTCAATAGAGCCCATTACTGCTGGGCCCATGCTCTTAGCCATTCATGCATGTGATCCCCCCCCCCGCCTTGACTTCCTTTTCTCAGATAAGTGGGAAATAGACCTCCCCACCCCCAAACCCTCAGGCATGAACCATCTTTCACTTCCACTTCTTGACATTTCCTTCCCTGTTTCTATGGTAATGCAGGTGATTTCAGAATGTGAATGCCACTTTGCCTGTGATGCCTTCATGATGTTGACCACTAGGACCAGGTACCAAGCAAAGGAAGTACAGTATTCAGGAACTGGTTGATGGGCATAGGTGACCTCAAACTGTGATCCAGCTGTCTTTCATTTCCATATCCGCACCCATCCCTTTGTAGTCTGGGGCACAAGATATCAAGCACAAATTTCCCCACCCCAACAGCTTTAAACCTGAGAATCTACAAAGCTAGATAAGAAAGAAATTTTTTTAGAAGTCATCTCCTAATATTTTTGTTGCATGTACTTCAATATTCTCATATTATCCATTTCTGGTGGTACTTCCTTATTGGAGCACACAGCCCCTTCTTGTAAAGAGTTCTTTACTTTGAGAAAACATACAAATGACCTCAGATATGAGGATATGAGGATATGAATCAGGATATGAATAGTAACTTACAACTCTCAAGTGTGATTTAGAAGGGTGCAAGCCTGTTCTCCAGTAACCCCAAATTGGATAGGGCTGTTTCAAGGCCCCTCACCATAAGGAGCAACCTGACCACTGACAGAGGGGGGGTCATTTGAGCTGGAAGGGACAGTGGCACAGACTGGACATGCTCTGGACATTGACTCTGACGCCAAATCCAGCTGCTATAACCTCCCAAGACTGCAACCCCACCAAAGTCTCACAATGATCAGGGTTCATACATGAGTGCAGATCACATACCCAGTGAGAACTAGCCGATGTCTAATGGAATCCTGTTTTAAGTTCTACTCGTCAGAAAAGGGGTGGAGTTTATGACATAGGTAAGAACTCAGATGAAACTAGTTGTTGGAACAAGTTGTCTGCTCTGTGAGATCTGTCCAGGGTTCTGAAAGACCTGTCTCCTGATTGCCCTTGTTTCCTGATTTCTTGACCCACAACTGAACGTTGCTGGTCAGTAGCCTCCCCAGATAACTTGTGAAATTGTGTTCTTCCAACAACTCTGTGGGCTCAGCTTCTTCAGGATTTGGCACAAGTGTCATACAGCACAGTCAGCACAAAATAAGGGCTTTGATGCTGTCAGCACAAAGGTTCTGGGCTACACAATTGTGCTGGCTGTAAAACCCAAAGCCTTACTCAGCACAGAAGTGGATGAGGAAAGGGGAAGAGGAGTCGTGAAGTGAGCTGCAGTCCTAACCACTCTCATATGGCCAGCCCTCTCCCCCTTGCATTGATGTAGCATTCAGCGCAGAGAACACAAGTGCAAATCATGCTGGAGTTACCAAAGGAAACCCTGCCCACCATATTATGTGTCTTGAGACAATGAAGGTTGGAGGATACATGATGGGTGAGACCTGGCTTGAGAGCAGTACATGTGAAAAGGATCTAGGAGTCTTGGTTGACCACAAACTTGACATGAGCCAACATGTCAACATGTGACGCGGCAGCTAAAAAAGCCAATGCAATTCTGGGCTGCATCAATAGGACTATAGCATCTAGATCAAGGGAAGTAATAGTGCCACTGTATTCTGCTCTGGTCAGACCTCACCTGGAGTACTATGTCCAGTTCTGGGCACCACAGTTCAAGAAGGACACTGACAAACTGGAACGTGTCCAGAGGAGGGCAACCAAAGTGGTCCAAGGCCTGGAAACGATGCCTTATGAGGAACGGCTAAGAGAGCTGGGCATGTTTAGCCTGGAGAAGAGGAGGTTAAGGGGTGATATGATAGCCATGTTCAAATATATAAAAGGATGTCACATAGAGGAGGGAGAAAGGTTGTTTTCTGCTGCTCCAGAGAAGCGGACACGGAGCAATGGATCCAAACTACAAGAAAGAAGATTCCACCTAAACATTAGGAAGAACTTCCTGACAGTAAGAGCTGTTCGACAGTGGAATTTGCTGCCAAGGAGTGTGGTGGAGTCTCCTTCTTTGGAGGTCTTTAAGCAGAGGCTTGATAACCATATGTCAGGAGTGCTCTGATGGTGTTTCCTGCTTGGCAGGGGGTTGGACTCGATGGCCCTTGTGGTCTCTTCCAACTCTATGATTCTATGATATAAAATCAGACAGGTCTTAATTTTTGCCTTTGGCAAAGTATCCATGTCTAAGACCTTTTGCCACCTAGCAAGCAATATTATTTATTTCACAGTACTTTAGGAACAGGGAGCACTGTCAACTTTTTGCCTGCCATGTTATGAGTTTGGCTGTCTTGATGATTGTGAATGGGCCTATCACAATAGTTTTGCCTGGCTAATTTGATGGGAGATATTTAAAAAGGTCAGTGAGCCTAACAAAATAAACTTAATGGTCTGAGATCTCTTTCCACTTCTTGGGATATCATACCCATCAGAGTTTGCAGGAGTGACGGAGAATCAGCTGGAGGGACTTTGAACTCTCAGTTTGGTCAGAATTTTAGCTCAAAGTTGGCTAAAATTGGAGTGCCCTCAGAGGGCAGTTCTTTAGGAATGTGATTCAGGATTGCTAGTTGTGCTACTTGCTCTAGAGCCTGCTTATTGACAAGTATGCAAGCAGAGGAAGACATCATGAGTCTCCAGGGCTGGATTTAATCCAAAAGAAACGAAGTTCCCCAGAACTTCTTGCCATTCAAAAAAGATGGGAATGCACAGTAACTGTACTAATGAAACAACTGTTGTGTTAATAGAAGCAAAGTGATAAATACTTACCTTGTGGTGTTGTTCATCATCCACAGGAAGCTAAATCTAATTAATTTCCCTTTGATAACCTCTACAGTGAAATATGTGTTCCTTTGCCAAGGACCCACAGGGCAGCAACCCCAACCCCAGGGAGATAAGTAGAGCATTCTATACATGCAACTTTCTAACATCCTGTTTTTCTTGGCAGAAGCATAACAAACTTGATTTTTTAACATTCCCAAATATGTGTAAACTAGCAATTCTGAACTTGTGAATTCATAGACTTAAGGTCTTTATTGAAACAGAATATAGTTCCATCTGAATGTTCCCTGCTCTGTGGTAGTGCAATTGAGACCAGGATAGGTGTGCCATTTATGTGACAAGCCAGTTATCTCCTTGTGCATTTTGGCAGGGAATTGTTAAACACTGCAAAGAAGTGTTGATTAAAGGCAGTTTTGGCAGAACTTGCACTCTGTATGACTGAACTAGAAATGTGCTCAGGTTTCACAACCAAATACTCATTTGATTCTCTTTTATGTCTCTTTACACTTGTCTGGCTCCCTGCTGAAACTAGAATTACCAGTCCTCCCAACATGCTTATGGCATTACTGCACCTTTCAGTGAACAAAAAAAGTATGTTCACTTGTCTTACTTCAGGATTATGTTTACAGCCAACACCTTGCTTCTTCAGCTCAACCAAATAACCCTTCAAAGCACCATGTAGAAAAGGACTGCCCACCTTGCGACCCACTAGACTGAACAGACTCCACCTGTCATGTATGGAAGCTCACCATTGCCCGCTACAGGTGCCCATCTGGAATGGATGTGACAGAGGGTCATCAAGCACTGGACAGGCCACAGCACAGGAGTGGCGGACTGTGCTCAGGTTGGTGGGTTGCAAGTAGGGATGTCAGAGAATTCTGGCAAAAACAGAAACAGGAGTGGAAATTGTCAATGCTCACTTCTCCGGCCCATGTCTAGAAAATCCAGCCACCAAATCTTGCATTATAGTTTAATGTATGCCAACTCAGTCACATGGTCTGTCTTATTACAGAGAATGAGAATCCACAGTGGGTGAAAATGGATAATTTTGACCTAAGCAACAGTCCTTTAAGTGCCCTTTCCTTTTCCTTTTGTAAATATAAATTCTACCCTCTGGGCTGCTTGGAAAATTGTTTTTCATTACTTTCAATATTTTGTTGGAAGCCACCCAGAGTGGCTGGGGAAGCCCAGTCAGATGAGTGGGGTATAAATTATTATTATTATGCAAAATCTGGATTAAATGGGTGGCAATCCTGGCACCTGGGATGTTCTTGTTTTCAAAACAAGACTATGTCATGCAAAGTTGAGCATAATCTGTTTTGCCTACTTGATTTTTATAAAAATAGTGCTCCTCTGGCTATTGAGGCCACAAACTCCTTGGTGCCAGAGTCCGCAATGCCCCTTGACCAACAGACAAAGTGTCAGTCTCTGAAGGCAGATTTTGTTGCCAAGTCTGTCCCTCAGAAGATGCCATTGTATATGTATGACAGCAGCCCAAGAGACTTGGATCTTTTAGGTCTGTGGTAATGAGAACATGAATAATGAGAAATAAATGTCTGGTTCCCCCACCCCTTCTTTCTACACTGAGGTAACTGAAAATCTCAAGAAAAACTTCAGAGACTTGGGAAAGATTGTAAGCCAGTGGATTTGGAAAACAGTGAAAAAAAGGTTCACTTTTTCTTTTTACTCTACAAGACCACCCTACTGTCAGGAAGGCGAAAGGAGGCATGTTGTATAACAAGAGGAGAGTTTATTATATACCACTCTAACAGACAAGGAAGAGCTATGGAGCAGAGGCAGAGGACACCTTTGCAGAAAGAGGCCCCAGGTTCCAGCCTTCACAAGACTAGTGTTCTTCAACCATTCAAAAATCTGATGTTCAAAGCAGACAGGATGTTAAGCACATATTTGCATTTTGCATGTAGAGGTTTCTTAAATATAGTGGAGTGGAGTGGTGATTATTGGAATTGCAATGTACTTTTCTCTGTCTTTTAACTGCATGCTACATGCAAATACATATTTAATGGCACATGTCATTTAGCCCAAAGGTAAACTTCCCCCCTTAATTTAAATAGTCACTTGAAGCCTGAGCCCATG